AGCGCGTCAAAGTTTGGGAGTAGGGGCTCGTGACGTCACTTTTAAGTGAATATTCGCTTAAAAGTGTACTCAAACGTGCGGTCATGCGACTTTTCAAATCAATATATCTCTGCAATGTTTATATTATGTGAAAAAAGAAAAAATACGTGCCCAATACTTTTTGATAATCTACCTGATAAACGAAGAAAAAAAATTAGTCATCATCCCTATTCCATTGCTGATTCGGAAGCTGGAGTCAATTGGTATAAGAGGTTTGCCCCTTTCTCTTTTCAAAGATAATCTGTCTAATAGGTCACAGACGGTGAGAATAGGGGATTACTTAAGCTCCAAACTAAAAATAGATTTCGGTGTTCCGCAAGGTTCGGTACTCGGCCCAACGTTATTCTTAATATACGTGAATAGTTTATGTGATATACAAATTCCACACTCAAAAGTAATAACGTTAGCTGATGATACTGTTATTTTATTTCAACAGAAAACATGGTCCAAAGTTAAAGCATCAGCTGAGGCAGGTTTTCGTAGTGTAATGGAATGGCTTGAGCATAATTTGCTTACTCTTAACCTAAGTAAAACAAAATACTTAAGTTTTAGTATAAGAGAAAACTTGCAACCTTCCTCCGATTTTATTTTAAAAGCGCATTCCTCTAGTTGTACTAGTGATGCAAATGAGTGTGAGTGCGTTGAATAGTTTAAAACTAGTAGTATTAAATACCTAGGAGTGGAAATTGATAAAAATTTAAATTGGAAACAACATATCTGTAACTTAAGATCTCGCATTCGTAAGCTAATACCTATATTCAAGAGAATCAGAAATTTGAGAGATGATAATACCAACAGGACAGTGTACTTAACATTGTGTCAATCTATAACTAACTATGGCATTTCAGTCTGGGGTGGAGCCAGAAAGAGTACTCTTATAAAGATAAAAGGGCTCAAAGGTGCATTTTGAAGGTTATGGGTTTTAAGTGTTTCAGGTATCAAACTACTAAGTTATATAATGCGTGGAAAATTTTGACTGTCCGTCAGCTCTTTATCAAAAGCATTACTTTGAAACAACATGGCTGTAATACAAATAATAAGGCATGTGCCAGGCGTTCGTACATGGTATTTGACATCCCCGTTTGTAGGACTACATTTGCACATAGTTTTTCGTATTTCCTGGCACCACTAATATACAATCGCTTAAGTAAAACTAGGACTATAAATAATCTAACTAGATTTCAATGTGGAAAGGCTTTAGATGAGTATTTCAGTAGTATGGATTATGAGAGGTCTGAACAATTATTGCAAGTAAACTGATTGGTATCTAATATTTTATCTTCATTTTGTACAAAATAGTATAAAAATATACAGTTATTATTATTTGTAGATATTATATACAAACATAGCTACAGTATATTATGTTTTATATTGATTAATGATATACTCTATATATAATTATATATTAATTTTATATATATGATTGTATGTATAGAAATATGTTTTAATATGATTTAGCGCTATTCATAATATCCATGCATTGTTATTGTTAAAATGTTGAATGCATTATATTATGAATATTATGCTTCCTTTTTTTGTTTTTTAGTTTCCATTGGATCAAAATAGTTACATTGAAATAAACTAATTTGTTTACTTATAATTTGTTAAATGTGGTTCTTGTTTTGCTTTTTGCTTTATCTGATTGTTTTGCGTTTACTGCATGTTTAAGTAAAACTTGTTATTCCTTATCGGGGGTGGTATTGTATTGCTAGAACCGTTGAATAATAGTAAAAATCTTTAAGTCAATTAATTTCAAGTTAGTTTTTCTATTGCGAGAATCTTGCCTTGCCGTAACACAGTGTTAACTAGCTCGGAAGGTAAAGAATGTTTGTCTCGTATGTGGGTAGGTACCCACATATAAAATATTTTTCTTTGAGTATTAAGTAAGCAGTTTTTTTTTATTCTATTATTTACTATTAATATTGAGCATAATAACGATAAGTGCTTAATTCCGTTTAGTTACCATGTTATAATATGTTTGTGTATGTGTGTGCGTGTGGAAATTACATAATATGTAAGTGGTGGCTCAATATTTTAATTATTACTTATTATATTATTTTTATTGGACACTTAATGAGGGCTATCGCGTATGAATCCGTCCATAGAGGCGCTAGTGTAGCGTGAGGTCTCCGAAATGTCAAATGTTATTGCTTGTTGGTTGACTACGCGGGTTTATTTCTAATTAAAATAATGTTGTGAGTAATTGGTTACAATTCGGCTTAATTATGGCAAATATGAGGTATGTGGCAATGAATGTCAGTTATTAAAAATTTGGGCTTAGAAGAAATGATTATGTTCCCATTTTTTCCGAATAAAACGGAACTGCGCGTCACTGTGGCATGGCCTATTATGTTTAGGATATGGTTCTTTTGTGTTAAAATACGATCTAAATGTAACCTTTGATTTCATGTGCGTATTAATAAACTTTAAAAGTTACAATTTAGGACCTCACTCAACAGTGGCGCCATCTGGTGAGGCAGAAAACGGTAGCCCTCATTGCTGTATGTTTGAATCTGGGGAAACCCACACAAAAAGATGTATTTTAATTTAGTTTTCTTTTCTTTAGATTTACTTAAGCTTTCTTAGAAAACTATGGTTAAAAATAGCTTTAGAAGATTTATGTTTATTGCCACAGAACACAGAATTTATTGCCAACCAAGGTATACTGTAACATTTTTATGAATAAAATTCTATTCTAACAACAATAAAAAAACATGTAATGAAGAAATTGCGAACCTTCTCCATTTTGAAGTCGGTTAAAAAAGAACATTAAGTAAAACATTGTTTTGTATTGTATGTGATTTTCGCCGAAGTTTTTTTTTAATTATAATTTAAACCCATCGATTTCTTAACTAAAACAAGTGTATGTCTCTTTTTTAGTATGAATGAACATATCCTGACGCATTCCGTGTCTGTTGCAGGGTGACCTTTATTTTCAATGCAATAGATCATGTTATAGATAAACTTGGAATAGTAGTTTGAATTTCGAAATCACTTTTAAATCGCAAATGTAAAATAAACTTATTCGATTTTTTTTCGATTTCTGGCAAAACTCCAAATAATTTCATATCAAAATTATAGTTTGTTTAAGAAGTGATTACGAAATAGAACATAACTTTTGTGACTTAGCACTGAATAGCTGGATGTTGATTAGTCATCCGAATATGTTATCTCCGCTTTTAAAATGACTGCGTCTGCCTAAAGGACTTCTTAAGAATTTGGTTATCGGAAACTCGGATACCTATAACTGAAACTAGCAAACCAGTGAACCAAATGTTAACCAAAAAAAAAATGTATTTAATTAATTGAGAACTTCGGAGATTTTGTGTGGTTTCGTTTGAAATAGAAATCACGTGATTTCTCGAAAACCGGAAGTGCTACGTTACTCACATCCGGTTTGTAGTCTTATCAGACTATTCTCAACTTATAACTTAAACATTCTCTTTATCTATCTCTTACGGTTTGGCCGCTGAAACAGCACCACGGACGGACGGACGGACTTGTCTAATAGATAAGAGATGCTATGTATTGAAAATACTATACTTCCGGACACATCTATCAGCCAGCTTAGTGGTATAAAAAGCTTAAAATAATTTATTCTAAAGAAATAAGACGGTGTGTAGCAAAAAGATATGTTAATGGTTGAGTAATAATTTTAAAACTACACGAAAATATGCTTAATAAGCCAGCTTCAAAACTACGTATGTAATGGGCTCAATGTAATATTATTTTTAGTTAGGGACGGTCAGAACTTAAAATGCTAGGTGGGCCGATAGATGTGTCCAGAAGTATAGGTAGATAGTTGTATTTACTGTCTGTGCATCTATTGAATCGTTTATTATATATTCATGTTATATAATTAAGTTATAAGATCAATTCATGATTACAGGCGTAAGTATGTCGACCGATCGTAGGCATTATCGGACAAAACCATAATAGCAGTACAAGTTGTATTTTAATGGTTTTTATTACAAAACAATTTGTATTGGGTACTTATCGTTCCAGTCAGAAACTCTTTTTAAGATGTTTTTCTTGCCACTCGTTCTACCATTAAACAAGTTTGTTGATTTCTATGGCGTGACGTGAACACCAAATCAGAGTTAAAAAAAAACAGCCAAGTGCGAGACGGAAACGTGCACGACGTGTTCCGTACAACAAACCGCGAAAGCAAAAATCATTTGTTTTCGTCACAACTTACAAAGTGCTAATGAATCGGCCTTTTCAGTATTGTTGTTTAAATACAACATATTATGGGGCACCATATACCAACATTTCACATTCCTAACTATAAATAGTTTCGATTTTGAGATAGATCCCGTAAAAAACAAAACTTTAAGGGCACTCCATTTCTTTGTTATTAAAAATAAATAATAATATAAATTATATTTAGGTACCTATATTCTTTTCAATGAGTTCTAGACGATGATTTGTCATTGTCACATGCTGGGGAAAAAAGAAAATATAATTTTTCGTCTCCTTTTCATGTACCATGGGTCCATTGAATTTTTATCTAAATATTCGGCTTTGGGCAAGCATTTTACGTTCCGTTTACGATCTAAAGACCCGTAAAATACGGACAGACAGACAGACGACAGAGTGACAGCAATAGTGTTCCATTTTTACCCTTTGAATACTGAACCCTAAAAAGTAGGTGACCAAAAAAGTTTCCTTTCAGGTTCATTCATGAACAGTTTGTATTTCCAAGCAGTAAGCCTCACTTTGAATAGTTTGTGTTATCATATGTGAAATGTAGAGATTACGTCGAGAAACTGGTTTCAAATACAATTGTGAAGATTGTTGTGGAAGTAAGTACTTACATTATCATTTTTGCGCGTCAAACGAAACTAATGTAGCATATTTCACTATTTACATACGTATGCTATTATTTTTCTTGTTCCATTTGTTGTAATGATAGCGAAGTGTAAACAGGTTGTTTTGAATAACTAGAATACCATACTAACCGCTGCTGTCGAGAATACTGAGGGATGGTTCACATGCAACCGGCGTCAGCTCCACCTTGCGATGTTTAGAAAGAGTGAACGACGTTTGACCTGGGCTGGACTTCAGCCGGTTTTCGCGAAAGTCATGGCTGCACTCGTGCGTATCGCGCTCAATTTGCTGGGAACGTAACCCGGTCATATAAGCGCCCATAATTTTATCATCACCCCTGTCACTGTCATCAAAAACGTCATCAAGTTTTTGTTCATTGTCCATGTGATTTGACAGCATGGAGGCTGCGTCGTCGTGGGGCATGTCCGGCGATGCGAGGCAGGGCTGTGCATCCGAGTGCGAAGGCGTGAGGGTGCGCGGGAGCTCGTCGCGCGCGCTGTCACTTTCCGCGGAATAGTAGCACTGGTTGAGCTCGACGGCGGCGAGCGGCGTGAGTGGGTCCGTAAACACTGACTCGGAGGTAGAGTCGTTCGCCGGCGAAGCAGCGAGGACCGGCTGGCCACGGGTCGGTGACCGTTCGCACCTGCTCACCGTTATGTCGGAGCGCGCGCTCTCCGACTCCGCTTCCCCTCTCGGCGACGGCGACGTGAACGTGCACTCGACCGTATCGTTATCGGATGCTTCGATCGCTTCAACATTATCAGAATCTGGCGTTTTATCGAAATCCTTATCAATAACGTCTTTTTTTAGGTCACTCTTTTTTCTTCCGTGTTTTTTACTCTCCCGTCCCGGTGATTTTCTGTTTAAGTTCCTAATGAAATGTTTACCCTTCGCAGGTGATTTACCTGTTTTAGGTTGCTTTTCGTTAGCCTGACTATTACCCATCTCGAAATTAGTAAAGTAATACACATAAGAAATTGAAGATTGAAATTCTTACAAAAATAATACTTAAGTATTAGATAATATAATAAGAACACTACGCGAGAAGTATTTATTCACAGCCTTTCTGAAGTTTTACGTTTTGGTAAGGTAAATGCTGACATGCGCATGGAGTGGTAAAAAAAATCGATATTTTCAGTGTTTACACCCTGATTTATAAAGGCTGAATATAACTACAATAAGTGCAAATTCTTTTTAAATTTCCTCTTAATGTTAATGAAAATCCCTAAACTAAAAATGTTGTTCTTCGTTTGTAATAGTTGCCTGCCTTTGTTCGTTTCATAAAGGGAGCCATCTATCAACAATTTAAGTTTCTTTTACTCCAGCTGCTTGCTTCTGCCTCTTTGTGTTACATTATGGCCGCCAGATGGCAGGTGTAAAGCCGGAATTAGACGGTTCTATTTGTTTCTTAGGTTTTCACGCACATCACTCATTAAATAAAACTAGTTTTTACGGGTTAATGCACGAAACTTTATTTATTTATTGACGTTTCGCAGCCTTTTCAGGTCTGCATCGTCAGAATAATGATTTTTTATTTAAAATTGTCGAGCTACCTTCGAAAGACTCTTTCAAGTCGATGCAGACCTGAAAAGGCTGCGAAACGTCAATAAATAAATAAAGTTTCGTGCATTAACCCGTAAAAACTAGTTTTATTTAATTAGACGGTTCCTTAAAAGTGATGTATCACTTTGGCAATGATTTGTGAATAATAAACAGTGAAATGCTATGTTTGTATAGACGCATCACTTTTGATGAAACCTAATATTCTATTCCTTGTGGAATTCCCGCGTAAACATCATCTGTGTCGAGTTATTTAATTAAAGAATAAATACTGAGATAGTTTAATAAAACTGTTTGGACGTTTCACTTGTCGTTCATTGCCGATGAATGATCGATGCTTGTGAAAACAATCGGGATCCGGAAGCTTTCATCGCAAAGGCACATACCGATGAACGTCAATTTAGACATTTCATTTTTGGTTTTTCATCGAAGAAGCATCGAAAATGAAAGCAAAAATGAACTGTCTTATTTCACCTCTAAAGCCGCTTGTTTTTCATCTTAAGGCGCGTTGTTTCATCCATCATTAGCTAAATTTGACTACTTACAGCGTGCTTACAGCTAAATCCTATAGAAAATATAACCATTTGTTAAAATTTGATACATTTACTATGTATTTGACGTCGCATAATCAAATACTATTTTTAACGCATAATCAAATACTATCGATGAAACAATTGCGACCTTGGTTCAAATTGACTATAAGTACCTAGTTAAAATCTCAATAATAATACATGATATACATACGTACTAGAGAAATAATAACCATCTATCAAAATTTTGGCACATATACTATGTATTTGACGTGAAATCTAGTGCCTTATCCAGTGTTGCCAACTCGGATTTTGAAAAAGGCGTAGGCCCGATGAGAAAATTACGTAGAATTGGTAAATTTTGCATATGACAAGTAAGTAGATCTACGTACTTTTTTCTGAGTGAAATGAAGAAGTTATTTGAAACCGAATAAAACGAGTATTTTGTTATACAATTTGTTTAAGAACGGGAGATAGAACAAAGAGTTCTTGGAGAAGTCGCTGCATTGGAAGCATTTACCATGCTGTGGTAAACATTTACCATCAGACACAGACACTGGTGGGTGCCGATTCTGGATGGTTCTCTAAATTTAAAACTTAATTTAACATCAGTCTCTCCTTTTCATTCTGTATAGAGAATGACAAGGATAAACTGTTGTTAAATGGGCTAGTTGACACTTTTTGGAATTATGTTTAAATTGTTATTCTATCAGAACGAAAAAAAAAATTTTTTTACCTAGAAGACATACAAAAACGCTCTTTAGTCTATAGACTTATCTATGCTATGGCGCCAAAACATTTGTAAACAAACACTCGCAAGCACGTAGGAAATAAACTTTCTAAATTAATATTATAAAACCATGATTTCTAATAGATCACATGAAAAATATAGCAGTTATCATGATACACTTGGTAAAAGACTCTAGAAAAGTTATGGTTTAAATTGCCAAGAGAAAAAACATACTTACACATGAACATATGCTTAAAACTTGCTAAATCCTGTAACTTTATCGACTGAAAGTCTTTTCTTTTTGCAAAGATCAATTCGATGTGAGTAGGTACTCATTGATAATAGTAAAAGTTTAAAAATACAATTTTTAAGGTTATGAATGTACCTACTAAGTCAAAGAGTTTTGTCGTTTCTGCTTTCACAAATCCTGCGTCCAGCATTAATTTAGTCAACAAAACCAATAACGGGAACCTTTTCTACAAGATGCAAGAGTGTTTAGATACATCTTCTTAAATATTCAATATAAAATATTCTTCTTTATTCTAGTGAATTAAGTTATTTTACAAATTTGAAAAAAAATAAGAAAATACGTAGATTCTGGGACTTAAGTTAGTAGGTTTCCAGAAAAGGCCTAAAATACGTAGATCTACGTAAAAAGACGTAGAGTTGGCAGCACTGGCCTTATCACACTGATTGATTGCGAAAGTTTTCCAAGCGGAGCGGGTGCACAGCAAAGACGTCGCGGAGGCTCAGCGAAGACGACGTGTATACGCAACCTTACCGTTACCTGTGCCCGGCGTACGATACACTCAGTAACATAAAGCCCGTCACAGACGTAGCTATAATATATATTAATATGAATCATAGCAAGACATATTACAACATATTTTCAATATAAATTTTCGAGTGACCGCACACGCAGCTATAATATATATTTCTATGACGTCACCAAAATATGTCGACAGATATATTTTGGCATATTAGTGTATATTTTGGTATATTAATATATATTTTGATATATTAATATATATTTTGATATATTTTTATGATACGGTATGTTTCATTTTTCACCGAACGCCTGCCAAAATATATATTATAGCCGTGCCCCGCGGTTTCACCCGCGTTTTTCTCGTTTCCGTGGAAATACTGAGATAAAATATGCAAGCAAGCGCGCGTGGATTTCCTTAGCAGAGTTATTTTAGAAATGTATTTATTTACAATCATCAACAAATATATTTCGAAAAAGATTATTACAGGATTTTATGTTAATAAAAAACTTTATGGCCCATAACTCATTAATAGGTACCAACTCTTAACATCTTACACACGTGATAACTTTTAAACGAAATATCCGATTGAGATGAAACAAAAAGTATTTTACTTCTACATAAATACTCTTGATAACATAATGCTTAATTTCGATAAATATTAATATTACGATACATATTTAACGTAGTTTTTTTTCTTCAGACGATGTAATAATTATTTTGAACACAAAATCGGTTATTGTGATTAAACCATGATAGCTAGATATATGTTCTCGCAGATTTTTTTGTAGGTCTTAATGGGATCTACAAACCCGTAGTACATCATTTTGTTCTATTGTTTTTGCAGCGCACGCAAAAATAGGTTTTCGATTTTACACCTTGTGTTACAAAATAGCTATTTTATTACGGATCCCTAATTTTGAAAGAAAAAAATATAGCCTATAGCCTTCCTCGATAAATGGAATACCCAACACTGAAAGAATCAATCAAATCGGACCAGTAGTTCCAGAGATTAGCGCGTTCAAACAAACAAACAAACTCTGCAGCTTTTTAATATTAGTATAGAAGTATAGATAGTACAGTTCCCGTCTGTGGTAGTTTGTATAATATAATATCTCGATATATAAATATATATAGCTACGTCTGTGACGGGATATATTTTGGCATATTAGTATAATAGGGAATGTTCAACTTCTGTTTTTCGTTCCTGACAAGGCAACATGCATATCAAATTCAGCATCGGAATCATGCTCTGAGGAACTTTCAATTAAATCTAAAAGTAGTGCTCTTGTCGAATTCATTTCGGTAAGATCGATTATAACGTTATTTCAAAATTAAAACACCCTGTGCTAGAAAATAAGCTTTAAAACCGTGCGCTTGCAAAAACGACCGCATACCGAGTGAGGGCAAAATATATATTATAGTATAGCTTCCGTCTGTGGTAGTTAGCTATAATATAATATATATTTCGATATATTAATATATATTATAGCTACGTCTGTGACGGGCTTAATGTTCGAATTAGTATGAAAGACTACACAAATAAACCGGAGCGGTGCCTAGGGGGCGTGGCGGCAGGTCTTGTCGTACTGGCGACACAAACATGCGGCGTGCGCGGCGCGTGGCGCGTGGCGGAGGCGAGGCGGTGCGGTGCCGGGGCGGAGACGTGCGTTGTATTCCTTATAGTGTATGGAGTCAGTTCACACAGAGAGGATTTCGGACTCATCAGACATTTTTTAAAAACGACGCCAAAACACAGGAGTCTCTAAAACGCCTCTGCGACTCCACCGCTCCGGCACGCCTAGCCTGGATCATGTGATCCGGTGTATCAACACCGGCAACGCGACTGCCACGCCTAGGGTTACCAACTTTTTTCTTTCAAATATCATTGTAAGTATTTTCGAAGCTGTTACCTCTAAAAATAAAATAGATGGCAAAAATTGGAAAAATTGATTATGTGGTTAAAATATTTTCTTTATGTTTGAAATGAATATATTTTTGCTGCTTTATGCCTTAATAATTAAGTTTTTATTTTTAAGAAACTTTTTACTGCCAAGTCTGCTTTGAGCAAAATATAGTAGTTTCGCCTACCATTTTTTTTTCAGAAATATAGTATTTGATCCCCTACTTAATATAGTAGGATACTGTATTATATAGTGGGGTTGGCAACCCTTGTCACACCTGACATGTTTGTCGATCGCCACCGCTCCGCCTCCGCCTCCGGGTACTGTGCATTTTGCCCATAATGGCGTCCACGGTGCTATTCGTTGGTTTTCCAATTACAGAGCATAATGCGACTCAGTGGCGCACAATGCCGAATTATGCTGATGCTTAATTGGAACATGAATTAGTTTTCAAATGCACCAGCAGAGTGCGCTAAGTAAAGTCAATGTTTGTACCTTCATCCATATTTATATTTAATTTCTAACACAGTTTGAATTAACTTTGATTATTTAAAAAAAAACTATGATGAAACGAAAGTTTTAATAATTTTTCAACAATAAATAATATTACTAACGATAACATATAAATAAAACATTTCGATCAATGCTCTGAGTTGGTACGATTGCACGCATCACACGAAAGCATTACTTTTGCGAGTGCTCAATTGTGCGAAGCGTTGCTGTAGTTGGAACACTCAACGTTATGCATTATGCCGCATAATGCGCTATAATGCTGTAATTGGAAAGCTACCAAAGTGGCCACCACGTGTTCGGTGCGAAGCCGCAGCGTCTTAGCCACACACGCGCGGCCTATTCTTGATAATGTTCGCAGTCCGTCAGTATGATAACTCTGACGCTGCAGTTGAATATTGGTATTTTTTTTTAGTTTAATCCGACAAGACAACACCTGTCAAGACCGCAAAAACTTCATTCGTAGCCAAATAATAAACACTTAGCGCCATCTATCTGATCACTACAGTATTAAAAGCAAAAATGAATATATATGTCTGATACGTTGTAAATTGTTTCGCCCCCAATTTATAGGAGTTTGAAAAAAATAATAACTTATTTTATGAATAACAATTCTACAAAGCTTTAAGCAAATTCGACGGCGCAGTAAAAAGTTTGATGAATGAATGAATGAGACTATACTTAATCCAAATTGACTGCTATTGGCACATAGTTGGCTAAGTCTAAGTGGTGTACTCCCCTTTTTTGGGCATCGGTACTCGGCACATCTCTCGAAGTCAAAGTTGGTACAAACCCGTGAGCACGGGACACAACTGCTGCAATTTTTCAATTTTTTTGAGTACAACTACTGGGATGGGTCAACTAACTTTCGGGACGTTAAATGTTTACTTTAACTTTCGAACATCATGCTGCCTGATTTAGATATCTGGGGCTCTACAATTTATCTACTCGTATACCTATTCGTGAAAAATGCAGTAAGAACTCCGACAGAATTTATGAGAAAATGGCTCTTAAAGTTAAAACTCTAATAGCATTTTCTCAAAATCGTGTCCGAGCTCTTACTGCGTTCTTCATGCGGACGGCAGACAATTCATACAAATGTAAATTTAGAAATTAAAGACCCATATTTATTGATTTTATGCAGGTAGCCAATAACTAGCAAGGTCTTTCATATTATGAATACTCACTTTGGACAGAATAAAATATATATATATTATATACTTTGATAATTTACTGTAATCAAAGATATTTAGATTATATAATAAATTTAATGAGCTAGTCGCGCGGTAATTTTAATCATAAAAAATGTTTTTCCAGCGTCATTAAGCTAATGCATCGTGATAGAGGGCCTGTTTCGAATATTATCATTTACGAGTACTAAAGACACAATGCGCTTAATATACTCCTGATAGAATTTTTTTGAATTTTACGTTAAATAAAATACGAGTTCTAAACTAAAGTAATTTAATGAAACTTACAAAAAATATTTACAAATTAAATGTAAACATACTTAAAACTAATAAGTACATTCAATATATGGCATTCAGCTTCACTTAAGCGAAATAGCAACTGAACATTGAAACTAATTGAGTTTCAAGAGTTATAAAAAAAGCAGCCTTTTCCAAAACACGTCCGTCATTCAGACTTGCAACTGAGTTACACGTGTTACTTACGTTTGTGCTAATTATTAACAAATAATATTTCGTCCTTTCTACTAATAAAAATACATTCATTTAAACTTCATTGCATCCCACTCAATGCATCCTTTAATTAAAACAACATCAACAGATAATTATATCATACATTTCATACAATGACATTATGGTAATGGGCTCATAAAACAAGAGATCAGATCCATATTAACATATTTTGCACATGAGTATAACTAAATTGTATTTAAAAAAACTGATTATAATAATAATAAAATGCATTCACGTTAATCTTAGCTTAGGTAATATTTTCTCTAACTTGCGTGATTGTAAGTAGGTATAGTATACCTATATATATTTAATATTGGTATTTACATTTAGGGAGTTGTAAACAATAATAATATACTTTTTCCTTTTCACCACACCAAGATTGTGAAACGTTGAATATTACAGTCTTTCCCTGTCAAGCGCATGAGTAAAACGAAGGAAGGGTCAGCAACAGTCATTCTTTTTGAAATATTTCAACGCATAAGTAATAATATAAATAAGAGACGGTGCTAAACGAACATACTCGTATGTGCCGCCTGATCACACACCTGTGTGACGAAGCTACGGGTGGCTCCAGTCAAGTTATCGTCTACATGCAGCCCACTAATTCATTGCGACTAGGGTTACCATCCGTCCGGATAAGCCCGGACATGTCCGGATTTTTTGACTATAGCCCGGACTTTGTACGGATCTTTAAATTGTCCGGTTTTTTTTTAATTACTGTGAATATGAATAATAAACGTACATATTGCTTTAAATATCATACCATTATAACTAAGTGAGTAATGGTACCATTTTGTGACTAAGAGTCCGGATTTTTTCGGAATGTCAGGATTTTTGTCAGGACTTCTGAAATTCCTAAATGGTAACCCTAATTGCGACAGAACTAATTGAAATTTCGTAAGCTAATTTTAGCCCGTTTAGTGTCAATCCACCAGAAGCTTCGTCGCGCGGATGTGGGAGAAGCATCACACAAGTACGCTTGTGTGAGGGTCAAAAAGATTTGAATGTTGAAGACCACTCAAGTTCTTAATGTACAAGGAAGAGTATTTAAATGATTGCATTTTAATCGAGTAGATATGATATTATTAACAAAAAAAATAATAATAATAAAGTATTGGAATGGAATAAAAGAAACGAGTACAATGTTATTGAAAATAAACCTTAAAATAGTGTATGAAGAATATAAATAGATATTCGCTACTTAACGGTTGTTACAATGTTTCCGTGAATTCACGCATCCACCAATTTTATAAAACCTTATAAAATAATATTTTGTTATTGAAGTGACAGATGAAAGGAAGCAGGTTTTCTTCCGTTTCACTTTAGCAGAGTTAAATGGCGAATATTTTTGCACAAAACAATTTATTCTATCACTGATTACTTTTTTTTAACTTTAAAGCTATTTCTTAAAAAGTGTTTTATATGTAATATTAACAAATAATTAAAATCTGTTGCATTTACGTTATTTCGATTTTCTCTAACGTCATATAATAAGTATTTTCCATTGGTGGAGCATTGAGTTAATATAACTAAATACTATTCCATGTACATTCAATTTAGTAAACCCTTCTCTGGAATTACTCATGCCGTTTCTTAATACATAAAATTAAATATTAAGGTTTTAGGCTAAGTGCACATGATCTGTGATACTAGACCGCGCATTTGATTTTTGCGAGCTGAGTCGAGTTGACCATAAGGCATGTAAACTTAACCTAAAACTTTTTTAAGTTGTTCCATAAACATTCATTTCAAAGACATGCCTAACCTACCATAATAATTGATGGAAGTGTATAAAATTTTATATACTTTGCACGTTTAATGGACACAATAATAATAAGTACAAAAAAATATACACACATAGTGTTTGGTTGTGAACAATTTAAATTGTTACTTAAGAGCTTGTCAAATGTATTTAGATTAACTTCATCATCACGTCTCGCTCTCTTAGTAAAAGACTAAAATTTATGTCGTAAAATTGTATATTATTTACAAAAACTATATTAAAAATATCATAAACACACGAAATGTATAAATTTGTTTGATTAAGTAGGTAAGTATTTTCGTGTTTATTTAGTGTAACAAATCACATTGATATCACATCGAAAGTACTTATTGTTACTTTATGAATACCTACCTATTAATTTTTGAAAAACATTGAACACTGATTTTTACACGTATATGCAGGGTTAATTTTAAAACAGCAACAACCTCTTAGGAGGTGATTCTACCCATCAACAGGAACAACTTTTAATAAGGGACCAACTCCTAAATCGCGAAAAAAAATTAGCTATTCATACATTTCGGTCGATTAACTGATGCACTTTTGTATGAAACAGCAGATTTTTTTTCGTGATTTCAGCGTTGGTCCCATAATAAAAGTTGTTCTTGTTGATGGGTAAAATCACCCCTAAAGATGTTGTTGGTGTTTTAAAATTAAACCCTGTATATTATAATCTTGGTATACATAACGGTAGGTAATCGTATACTCGATTAAGCAATAATAGAAGTGTCCTGTTGAATTTAACTGTTATTAATTCGTTAATATTTTGTCACACGCCACAAAGACATAACACATATTGATATTAACTACCAGTTTTTTTCTATCTTGTGGACTGTCAGATACTGATGACATTTCGCACTGCTTCGTCGAGTACACACACCTTTTTAAACAAGGTATAAGCACTGAATTTATTGTTTGATTACTAACACCAGGAAAAGGTCACAGTGATCTTAATATGTAAATACAACAAATACAATGATCCATTAAATAACATACAATAAAACTAACCGATAAACAGTTGTGTATAATTTTTAATTGTTTATTTTATATGTATCTCGATTGTTTGATTACTAACACCAAGAAAAGGTCAGAGTGATCTCAATATAAAAATACAACGATCATTGTAATCGTCGATCCATTCAATAACACTCAATAAAACTATCCGATAAACAATTATTTTTTATTTGTTTCATAATTATGTGTATCTGATACGACATAATTTTTTTGATAAATTATGTTTCTAAGCTACGCCGCCGCCAATTGTCTAAGCTTGTTTAGAGCGCCGTCCTTTTTCAGGAATGTTTTTAATATTGTTAATGAGTTACATATCTTATTTAAGAGATGGTATTCAATTGGATTGATTTTTTCAAATGTTTAGGGCCCAAAAGCCAAAATGTGTCTCCAATTAATACACTTTTTACTCAAAAGCTGCATCTTCCGCTATTCTGCCAATACCATAAGGGATATATGGTATAAAGGCATTTATTAAATAAGATATGCCACAACCATTTACTTACTGGCTGGTACCACTGAGAATAATAAAATGAAAAAATAGTTGATGACTGTGCGTTCATTGGCACTTTATAGTTTGTTACAAAAATCGACGTATAATTACAAAGTTATCTTCTACTTATTTAATTTATCACGATGTTGATAATAATTAATCAGTCATGTGGATTTAAAATATGACCGGTCTCAATAAAAGACTTGTCATTTCTTCTACCAAAAATATGCACGCTTTTTTCGCGCCACTCGTTATTTTTTTATGAAGGCTACAATCACTATTTATCTACACATTCAGCTTATATGAATTAGATTCATGTTTATACTATCGAACAAATTGATTCCTGATCCACTCGCCCCCTCACTCACTTGAAATTTTTGGTATAGAATGCATAATTGCGCCTTTAAATGCCAAAGAAACTTTATAATACATATCAAGAATCCTTGAAACTTGACCTTTGTTATGCAATAGATTTTGTTAGAGAAATTTGATTTTTATGGTTTCGCTTTCGTAACTTTTAAACTGTCTTTGAGGAATAGAAGCCGTTTTGAATTTTTGAAATTAAAAAACTCATTGGTAAACTTTTTATTATGCTGGGGCCATACAGAATTGCGAAATTGCCAAGTCGCACCGTAATACAGCTAAAAAAAACAAAAGAACGAAGCGGTCAACATACGGCAGAAAAAAAATACTAGGTACATTTGATAAACTCTCCCAATCATAATCAAAGGATCTTTCTTTTCTCCATACAACTTTGCCCCAGTACCTCAAGTATTATCATGCATTTATGTGTAGAAAAATACGCCGATTTCATAAAAAATATATGAACGGAATTTATTATCCACTTGTACCACGTAAAAATATCGATGAAACATTTAAATTAATGGCAACACAGATAATGTAATATAGTAAATGTGCATCTATAAATTAATTTAAATTAGCTATGGAAATCATAAAAAAAATACTGATTGGCAAAAGCTTGATCATAACAAAATATTATTTTACAAACACATCAAAATACATATCAAATAACTTAAAGAGTTAGTTAAAAGTCTGTGTACCAAGGCGATTAAATGTCACTGTCATATCCATAGTTAACATGTGAGGAAAATAGTCACGTTATTTTGATAGAACCAATCACAATCAAGGAAATGAATGTAAACCAATAGTATTAGGTGTCATCTGTCAGTCAATGACAAATTGCGTCTAGGTAATAAAGATTTTTAAAACGTAGATTCCCTTTTCAAAATAGATTTTCACCAATTTCTATTGAAGTAATTAGTATTAGTAAGTTTTTAAGAATAATTTTAGATGTATTTTGAGATAATTTGTACCACGGTACAAAACTGGGCAAAAATCGAAGGTCTCCTTACCCCCAGCCCGTGATTGATAAAAAAGGACATTTTAATTTATTATATCAATCTTAATTCACGTTGTTACTAATTAATTTACTCCGTCTCATGTGGTCTTCACCCGATACTCCAGAGCTAAGTAACATCGGTTTTGCCTAAAGTGACGAAGTTTCCAGGCAGGTTTGGCATTGACATTGCGCTACCTCGAAAATTCGATTATCAAAATCAGTGTAGCGTAGGCATAAGCGAAATCTTTTGTTAATGTTTAAATCACTAGAAGTCAACTTGATGGTTAAATAAATACATAAAAAGTGTTTCCAGGGATACGTAAATAAAATGCAACATTTGACCTTATGGAATTGAAGTTTGCAAGAAATCAAGCTTATGATGGGTCAGGAATCAAATGGACTGATAGTAAAAATACCAAATATTGTACTCTTAAAATCGATAACATCAATGTATCATAAACTTCATCCTGTCCTGTCCTTCTCTACGGCATTCAAAACTGTAACTTAAAGTAGGATGAAGGACAATAATTGTCGAGTAGAACCTAGAACGTCAATTTTAAGAGTATAGGTACTGTGTGTTGAAATGTTCTTTCCTTTGGATGGTCAGCGTCGTAAAGAGTGTTGATAATAAAAAAATGATAAATAGTTTCAAAGTAGAAAGAGAGTTTAATTGACAAGAATTTTTCGTTAGTTATGAATGATTGTGGGAAAGTGGGCGAGCGCTTATTGTGCTTGCTAGCTAATTTGTTAAATTTCGAATTTTATAAAGGACATTAAAATTTGGTCCACCAAGGTGATGGCTTACGTAGAAAGTATCAAATACCGGGAGTGGTTCCAGTAGTTGGATACCAGTGTCTTATGCTGTGTCATCGATCGCGAGCTTGTGTTGTGTATTAGAGTTAATGTGTTCGTGAAACGGTGGGTGGGTATACATTAGAGTAGAACCACAATACATACAAGAACAGTAGCGTAACTCAGCCGTTTTCTTGAAATAGATACCTACGACTGAGCGGAGCGCTAGGGTTGGTACCTACAAAACGTAAAACAGATTTGTATAGTTTTTATTGTATGTGTATAGTTGCTATTGCCACATTACGAAATCTCAGCGGCGCGCGACGTGGCACTGCGTAGATTTGTCTTGCCAATTGATTAGCGGCCGTGTAAGTGACGTTTGTCTGTGTGCGTGCGTCGATTCGGGCGCTAGTATGAAGTCAGAGTACTGCTCTAGTATGCATTGTGGTAGAACTTACTCTGCCTTGTGTGGGGCAGTAGAGGCGTCGCTGGTATCATCGGGGCTCTCGGTCGGGCAATGTTCGAGAATTATTTCGAGCCCTCCGCCCCCATCAGGAACGCCTGCGTAGGCGTGTTTTCAGACAATAATTTCGCGAATGACACGCCGCGAGCGCGTGTTCGGCGTTGAGTATCCGGACTCGAGGGACTCGTCGTAGCTGAGGGAGAGGTGCGCCGGCTTCTCATCGGCCACGTCGCCGCCTGGGCCGCCGTCGTACGCCTCCGGTAGACCGCTTACCTCATGGTATGGCGATTCTGTGGAAGAGTATTCCCGCATAAATTTAATTTATTATAAATATATCTTATACATAAAATTCTCGTGTGCCTAAAGTGAACTACTCTGAAACGGCTCGACCGATTTTCGTGAAATTTTATATGCATATTCAGTTGGTCTGAGAATTGGACAACATATATTTTTCATTCAATAAAATACATACAACCCTAAATTTTCACCCTTCTACCACAAACCCCTATTTTTTATGGCGGTACGAAGTTCGATGGGACAGCTAGTAATACTATAGATATAAATTAATGATACAATTATATCTTTGTTTTCATAACATAACAGGTGTACCCACACGTAGTTAAAGTCTGTAGTATGGCAGACCCGGTGGGTTCGAAGTGTTTAAGAACTCTACTGAATAATTAACGGCATCGTCAGTGTTTACAACAGTATCTATTGAGTTACAAACAATCTGTTGTCCTTCAAAGGAGTTCAGTAATATGTCATTAATGAACGCTGCTTGTTCGTTCTTTTGGGTTAGTATAGCTCTTTCGAATAACCGTCAACTTCTATTTTCCGAGATTAGCGCTACGTCTGGATAAATTTTTGAAACCAGGTTTTCAACTGTCGTTACTGAAGTGCACAGATATTATGCTATCTTATTCTGGGTAATCACCGTTACCCAGTTTTAGCAAAAGATCCGACAATCGGCTAGCGAAAACATCACCAATGTGGACTCCCATATTTTTGTTAATTTTAAAATTTAAATGAGGGCCACAATGATGATCTTTTAAGACACTCTTTTATCTTATCTGCACGTGCTCCCCTTGGAACTACTGGTAGTTTGACGAAAGTCTCCTGCCAGCAATACAGTCAAACCACCCATCAAACTTTTGTTGCTGCGTAAGTCTTGCAGTCCTATTCAAAGCTTCTATACCTTTTAAAGGGACATAGTACTTTCATCCCAGACAATAATTTTAGTTTTTCTCAATACTTCTGCAATTTAGCTGTTTTGAAATGTGGCGGCAATTCCCGAAGAAGCCACAGCTAATGCAATGCAATGTCACGTGTGACCCTTATTTTTCCCAAAATCAAATAGGTAGGTTTTGCCCGTTCCTCCTGGAGCATCTAAAATAAAATGTATGCGGTTTGGGCTGTGCTTTGATATGTCAGTCACTCAGTTTCCTCTTTTATATACAATTTACAAAGATTTCTGAATAATAAATAGCAAAGCGCCTAAAGGCCAAATTAAAGCATAGGACTCACCCATGAGGAGCTAGATGGCGCGGGTGGTTAGCGCGTTCGGCCGCGTTCGTGGAAGTTAAGCAACTTTCGCAGTGGTCGGTCATTGGATGGGTGACCAAAAATCTTCTATCTCGAGTTCCTCCGTGTTTCGGAAGGCACGTTAAGCCGTTGGTCCCGGCTGCATCTGCAGTCGTTAGCACCCGCCAATCCGCACTGGGGTCGCGTGGTGGATCATGGCCCAATCTCCCTATTCCATTCATAGGGAAGGCCTGTGCCCCAGCAGTGGGGACATTAATAGGCTGATGATGACTCACCCATGTGTTGGTCGATGCGTTTCTTCGGCTTATGAACTGAGGCGTACGGATCGGAGCAGTAGTCTTGGCGCGAAGGGTTGTGTGTTGTGCGCATATAGTCTGCAGGGGGCGGTGCGTGCGGCAGTCGCTGGTACGGCGCATACTCTTCCATGGTCGAATAACCGCCGTGCGCGATCGGGTCGTATTCGTAGTTACTCTGCCTCTCCATTAGCTGATGCCCTGGCATTCCCCCGACCCCGCCAGCACCCATCTTCATTTGCCACATGGAATCCTGTGAGTTTACGCTCCCCCCGTTGTTACTATTCGCATAGTTGTCCACGTACGTCCCTGTAAAACAGAATGTTGTTTTCTCAGTGCTTTTAAAACGTAAACTCCAGAGATGTGCCGACACAGTATTTGCTGACTAATCGGTTTTCAAATTGCCGACTATTTTTTATAGTCGGCCGACTATTCTGCAATGCCGATCATTGTAATACCTATCTTAGAAAGGTGTTCAGAATATTTCGTCACTACTCGGCTTGCTCACGCACGACACGAGTCTCCCGAATCGACCCGAAATAGTCATGTTCCAACATCACAATTTGCCTCTAAGGAAAAAAAAATACCTATAGACTTCTTTAAGACTCGCTAGTACTAAAGATTTTACCCAATTAATACATACTTACTTCCCATTGCTATTTTGTTATGTGCGATATTCATTATGTTGAGTTATCTGAATTACTGACAGATTCTTAAGTTCCTAATTCTTACTATGTTACCTTTTTTATCCTTAATTATTATTCTTCTTATCATGTTAGCTTTTTTTTGATGTTGTCAAATTGCAATTTGTGGGAGTGATTTCGTGAAATGGGACGGAAGTGTGTAACAGGAAGTCGCGAAAGCGCGCGCTGTTTAATTTGATTTTAGAACATAATGTTCAAATGACTTATTCCTTTTGTAGTAGGTTTTATTTCTTTTTTTACTAATATAAGGTGGGGTTTCAAATGTTACACATCATACGCGATTACTGTAAGGCTCGCGCGTTTTTTATGTTTAATTATGTTACTGTAGGTAACTTAAAATACATATTCTAGGTACTGTTTAAATATTCAAAACAAGCATAAGTTTTGAGTTTTATTTTATTGTTATGTGCCGATTATAATCGGCATGTTTTGCCGAATAGTCGTCTTTCCCGACTAGTCGGCGGCTTGTCGGCCCATCTCTAAAACACGCATGCCGGCTGCGCGTCGCGAATTCATTTACCTTTCCTCGTGGTCCTTGGTAGTCCTTGTGTTTGCAAAATTTAAAATATTCATAATAAATATCACTTTTTACGAAATATTAAATACTATAAATAAAAATCTAATGTGACCAGAGCCCTATTTCATCAAAACGTCATATGTCACTGACTTTAAGCAAACGGTTTGTTGTGGGGTGATCTATTCACTGCACCGACTTCTTTAATTTAATGTTCGATATTGATTTTGCTTATGTGCAATTTTTCTTTGAACGCAAAATCAGTGATATCAGAAGAGAAATTGAACCTTTCGAGGAGAGCCATTTTCTAACACTACAATTCTAATGCAAATCTGACACAGTCCCGATCTCATGTCAAAAATTAGCGACAATTTGCAAATATGTAGACTTAAAAAATTACTCTGGTTTCACAACATATTTGTCGCTGAAGTAAGATCATAGAGGTATAAGAATAGAGTGGGGAAGGCGGCTCTAAAAGTGTCCATCTAGTAGAAAGAGAAAGAGGATGAGAGACCGCTAGCTATCTCTCTCTCTTGTGACGCATGCGCAGTCTCTCCAACCAATAGCAACTAAAACAAGCTATCCTCTACGACAATATGGCATTCTCATCGAAATAGTAAGATGCTTACGGTTGCCAATGCGCGATTACAGAGAGAAAGCTAGCGGTCTCTCATCTTCTTTCTCTTTCAATTAGAGAGACACTTCCACTTGTAGTAGAGTCTATATCTCCCCTACACTATTTTTATCCCTCTATGAGTAAGACACGGACGATTAACAAAGTATCAAAATGCCTGTCATTTTTATGAAATATGTCAGTGACACATGTCGACTTGGTGAAATAGGGCCCTGACATATACATGAGTTCTATCAACGTCGTCCTAAGTACTAATACTGACCTATTAATACTTAGGACGACGTTGAGTCACGTACAACCACAGGATTGTGCTAACATGTGCTTGTGTTTTTTAAAATACTACTTATAAATTAAGGTCTAATTTTATTTAAAGGTGTTGTTCACGCTCCAGCGATATTTTCATGGGTATTTAATATCGTTGTGTAAATAGGATATTAAAGATGGCGTGAACACAAGCTTTTGTCTGTATGGCTTGAGTAATCCGTATTTCTATGAAATTACTCAGAAATGAATACAATGTCTATAAACAACAGGAAGAAATTCGGAATTAATTTCTAGGGTGATAGGTTACAATAGCGTATCTGAATGAACTGTCATACAAAGCGATTGTTTAAAAGTTCATTATTCCTGCCGTTTCGGATCTTCGTTTTGCAATACTAACTTTTAAAAGAAACTTAATTTACATTTATCTATACATTATAATAATAAATAGCTGCGGCGGGTGCTAAATTTGTACAATATAGCCAAATCATACAGAAATCTAGGAATTAAATTACAATCTATTATTAATTTTCCAATTATTGCATTTTCTAGGAACTATAGAGATTTCCAGTAAATCCATCCAGTCCATATCGTGTCCATAACTATACAGAATGCGCGCTAATGATTACGTTATGGAAAAAATAATTAAATCGATCGTCAAAGAACTTTTGGAAATTTTAAATAAATTATTACTTACATTATAATTTTCACATTATATCTATCTACTAATATGTAAAATTCTCGTGTCACGGTGTACGTAATTGAACAACTTCGAAACGGCTCGACCGCTTTCGTAAAATTTTATATACATATTTAGTAGGTCTGAAAATCGGACATCTATTTTTCATCTACCTAAATGTCTACCTTTATTTTTTTTTTAATGACAAATTAATTATACAAAAATACACACAACCCTTAATTTTCACCCTTCTACCACCAACCCCTATTTTTTTCGCTGGGACAGCTAGTATATTATATAGATAATAAAGGTACATAATTTCATATCAATAAAATTTACTTACATTCGGGGTTGTTCTGCCCGGGATGGACCTGCGAGTGTGGAGTGCGATAGGCATAGCCCCCTTGAGAAGCGTATACAGCATTTTTGGAATCATCGATAGGCAACGGAATGTCCATGGAATGTTCCAGCGCCTTGTTCTCCATGCCGGTGCTGGCGTAAGTGTACGGCGGAGGTGCTAAGTTCTGGGATTTCATAGATTCCATGGCTGATTTCATGGAGTCAAGCTCGTGGTTGTCTTGCACTTTTTTCACTGCGTTACGTTTCGAACGGCAATACAGGTGCAGAAGCCATGCCACTACAATGAGGACGACAAAAACGATAATAGTCGTCAAAATGGTCACCAGCATATCCGGCTCCTTCTTTACATAGGCTGGACCAACTGTTAACAAAAAGTTTTCGATTAATATAAATTTATTAATTGATTGTTCTATAGTCCGTATCATTAGATTTGTGCTACGCTAAGAAAGGAAAGTAGGCACCCTGATATTAATGTACAATGTTTGTGTTACATAAAATATTAATTATTTCAGCTAATTTTATTTATTATTGATTAATATAACCACACCGTTTTTCTACAATTTATACAAATTAGGTACTTATAATTAATTATTATTTTAAGTACAGTTGGCTACAGGTCAAGTTACCCAAAACTGTCAAATACCTTCAACTGATTTGAGCTTTTTATGTAAATAATTGATAATAATATTCAGGGTCTATGAAGAAAGGCTTTTCTGGAATGACGGACACCAGGTGGCAGCACTGAGACGAAAGGTCTAATCATCCGTCAAATCGCGTATGTCTTTATAGTCTATGGATCAATTGAAAGGTTTGTTCAATTAGTTCGCGCCAAAAACTTCAGACAAAAACCTTCACGTCACAGGGGCGCCAACTGGTGACGTACAATTTCATAAACACTTCCAATCGTGTCTGTACAAATAACACAAACAAATTCAGGTATAAGGCGCGGCGATATACCTTTTTCTATATTGTAGTCAGTTATACTTAATAATATAATTTAATGATGATTCCGTGAATACAAGTCGGAAACGTTGATTGCCCTAGTTCATTCGATTTGCGAGCTAAATTCAATAAGAAGGGTGAACGACTTACTTTCCGTCGCTGTGTAATCGCGGCAGATATATTGGTTGTTGTAGGCATTGCTCGAGTCGGATGCGCGATTTAGGTGGCGAGCGGTGAGTCCCAGAGCTCTCGGGATTATAAAATTTACCTAAGAGTTCAACCGATTTGCGATCTAAATTCAGCAAATATTCCTTTTCCTTCCTACGTCCATTCCTTCCCTTCTATATAATAATAATCCTGATATATACATATGTTTATCCAAGTTTAACAAAAAAAAATGATATAAAAATTCAGTTTATCTTCGATATTTATTCTTTTACTTCAGTTCCCTTTATTTACCTATATTCCCCTACCTACTCACCTGTTATTCATTGTTGTTGTTCATCGCAAATCTCCCTTTTTTCTTGTTTCCTACTTTTTACCATCTGTTATCACCACATATCCACATTCCGCTCCTTTAATCGATCAAGTTCAATCGATGTACTACCCAATTACCATCTGTTATCACCACATATCCACATTCCGCTCCTTTAATCGATCAAGTTTAATCGATGTACTACCCAATTACATGAAATGAAGCTTGCATATGGCAAATGGCAACATTAGCCGTCATCTATACAGATAATAAAATGGTAGGAAAGTCAAAACTGTACATTGAATATTTTTTTAAAGAATACTTGGGGTGTGATCCACAATCGATACCGAAGTCAAAAATAAAGTTTTTAGAATTTTTGTCTGTTTGTCTGTATGTATGTCCAGGATAAACTCAAAAAAGTACTGCATGGATTTACTTCAAATTTGACACGAATATTATTACGAAGTCGCGTCAACATATAGGCTACATATTATCACGCTATCACCTAAGGGGAACGAGCAGTGAACCTTTATTTCTAACTCCACGCGTACGAAGTCGCGGTCGGCCGCTATTGCCATAATAAAAGAAGAAGAAGATCTAAATTCAATACGAAATGTGAACGACTTACTTTCCGCCTCGGTGTAGTCGCTGCAGAAATCCTGGTTGAGTTTTAGGCACAGCTTGAGCCGCATGCGCGGGCTGAGGTCGTCGAGCGGTGGGTCGCTGACCACGCGCGTGGACTTGCGGATCGGCTTGTTGGGAATCTCGAGGATCGCCTCCTGCAGCATCGCCATCGAACCGGACAGCTTCAGCGGCACGGTATCAACCACCTGCGTACAGTATTAAACGGTACAATAAAAATGGTAAGGAAATCTATTACATCATTGATTTGTTTTACACTAGCGTTCCATCACTGAGGCGGGTGTTGAGCAGTACTTTTTTTGTCGAATAGGCTATTGTACAATGCTCTATTTTTGTAAATATTATGTTAAGTGTGCTTAATTATGTTGTAATGTGTTTTTATTGGTGAAGACCTGTAATTGGCCTTTTGTTATTATAAAAGTTTTTATTATTTTTATTAATAGCTGTTGGTCTTCAAAAAATAAATAAAACATAAACGAGTAAAAACTTTGTCTTGTTAGAAGTTATTTTGGAAATAAAAGTTGTTTTAGTGCTAATGTACTTAGTTATTTGTTTTCTTTATCGAAGTTGAACGACTCTTAAAGTTACAAATCTATCTTAACCGTTATAATTTTCCTTAGGAGTTCATGAAAAGCACTATAATCATGATTTTTTCCAAGTTTTTGAAGCCAATAATTTAGCTTTTAGAGGAGAGGGAGTAGGGCACTCGAACAAAAATTAGTACTTTAAGGTTCAATATTTCGCAAACGGATCCCTAAATTGAAAAATAGTCTTGGGAACCCCGAAGTAATTATTAAGGGCCTATTCAACGATACCCCCGACGATGGGGTAGACGATGCAAAAAAAATCATCACCAGGTTATAAAATATGTAGGGGAGCTACGCTAAAAAAAATATAAATTTATATTCTACCATTTTGTCGGCGTGATTGATATACATATCTCCACAAAATTACAGCTCTCTAGTGCTAACAGTCTCCAAGCAAAAATGGGGACCGAGTGACAGACGGACATGACGAAACTTTAAGGGTTCCTTGTCAGGACTATGAGACCCTAAAAATATAAAAAACGAGCGAGCCTTACAGTAGTCGCGTATGATATGTAACATTTGAAACCTCACCTTATATAAGTAAAAAAAGAAATAAAACCTACTACAAAAGGAATAAGCCATTTGAACATTATGTTCTAAAATCAAATCAAATAGCTCGTGCTTCCCAAACTTCCTGTTACACACTTCTGTCCCACTTCTCGTAATTACTCCCACAAATGGCACGAAAGCGAGAGGAAAGATGTTACACATCAATAAACTAACCTGCCAATTATTAGAGCCCACTTCTCCACCCAATCCTTCCGCCACCCCTATAAGTGTTAAGCAGGTGGGTGTCACGCTGAAAGCCAACGTCTTGGTGCTCGGATCATACGTCACTTGCTCAGGAGGCAGGATCTTGTCCACTTTCGTAGCTACCGTGATTTCATTAGAGTAGTTGCTCTGACCCTTGGTGTTCACCGCTTTCACCTAAACAAAATAACGCTTCAGTAAAGCCGTTTCGCATTTACGAAATGTTTTCCGAGTTTTTTTCATACTTTCGCGTTGACGATTTTATATTGAATATCGGAAATATTCAAGAAGCGAAAGTCTAGCAAAGAATTTGATAACTCAACTTTTTATTGTCGCAATGGCTTTGACGGCATTGGATGCTGCCTGTGACTGTATGTGAATATATCCATATTTTGCGTATTTTATTTAACGACACATCTACGCGATGAGTCACAATCACGAACGAGAATACGTAAAGCTATTTGAAAAATCATATAAAATTATCCATAAATCAAGCTATAAAGAGGTGTTCATAATGAAAACAAATTTTGGAGAAAATGTCAAACTTAAAAATCGTTACCCTGTAAATTGTCATTTTGGAGTTATCAAGTTCTTCACGTCATCTACGGATTTATAGCTTAACTAGCTGACCCAGCGAACTTCGTACTGCCCTAAAAAAATAGGGGTTGTCCAGCGGACAAAATTGTGAATCTAAACCATTCTCAGATCCCCTTGAACACACACAAAAAATTTCATGAAAATCGGTCCAGTCGTTTAAGAGAAGTTCAGTGACATACACACTCACAGAAGAATTATATATATAAAGATGTAATTGTAATCGTCGCACAAAATTACAAATCAAACGTATGTTCTTTAATTTATGGTTGACAGTGTGGAAAGATCTTTTATTTTACCTAAAATCATGAAATAATTGGGCAGTCCAAAAAAATAAGTAAATTTATTGAAAGCATTTTTGTCCTGTGTTTCAAATCGACTAAAATACTTTCGTGAACATATAAATCACTTTAGCGATGGTACTTCCGAAAATTTAAAGTAATTATAGCAACACTCGGAACTGATGATCCGAAAGCGTGTTTAAGACAAGTTTGACAAGACAAAACAGACATCACAAATATAACATGTAGAATTATGTTGATTGAATTGATTACTTACCTGTAACACAAATGCCAGAAGCTGTCCGTGGCAAAAGTGAAAGAAATAAATACACATTTAGTACTTATCAATAAATAACGATTTGTATCTTTGATGTACAAATACTCGCATTCATCATACAAACATACCATAGGGATTCGAACCCAGGACCTTTGAGAAGGCGACAACTTGAAAACCAGTGAAATGTTCACTGCACCACTCCACCACGGAGGTCGTCAAAGTAAGTACTTTAAATATTTGTAATAAACTGTAAATACCTTAAACTTGTAGGAGATATGTTGGTCAAGACGAGTTACGTTGCAAGGATTAGATCGACCACAGTCGTATTCCATCCATTCAAAATCGGATTTGTCTGAAGCACAAGTGCCCTCATTAGGTGATGGCCGTCCAAATCTTCGGTAGCGGACAAAATATTTTGTACTTGGTAATCCACCGTCAAAACCAGCTTCCCACTTGAGAGTAACGTAAGAAGGGCCCACTTTCTCACTAGTTAAGGCCCGAGGCGACTCCGGAGCACCCTTTGGTTGCAATCGGATCTGCGGGCGAATGCTGCCGAGCATGTTTTTAACATTACAGTAATAATCCCCATAGTCTTGGGATTTTATAACTTTGATTTTTAAAACGTTGCGGTACGAATCATTATTATCTGTGGTTGTGCTAATTTCGTAATGACCATCTGAGGACATCTGCAATGGCGCCGTATGTGACCCAAAAAACCAATTAAATTCTGGCTTAGGGAATGCTTGTACGCGACACACAATTTCTGCAGTTTCCATCACGTCATAGGCAACTTTAGTTTGAAGTTTCACTGGTATCGGTTCATCTGAAATTTAAAATAGTTATTAATTTATCAAGCATAGTATTCAGAATTTCTGCTATTTTTTATTTTTATATGTAGCAAGTATAATTCAAATACTGGAAAATTAATTTGAATTGCTGGCTCAGAAGCGAAAAATATATATTAGCCTTGACATAATTTAATAGAAACTTTAAAACTTACGTTCAATGCGTAGGTGCATTGTAGACTCCACCTTTTTTACTTCATTTTCGAAATTACATGAAAAGAGTCCTCTATCCTCCGGTAGTAAGTTGTTATTGTGTCTGCCGCTTCCGTGGAACCTGAGTGTGCTGTTTACATTGTAAACGGAGTTTCTGCCTTCTGTCGTATCTTCCTGAATTTCATATAAGTTAGTATCAGGCTTTATTTCGACGAAATCTTTGTACCATTTGATATTAGGCCGTGGCTTGCCAAGAGCACTGCACGTTACTGAAAAGTCGTGTTCACCAGAGCGTTTTGTTACATGTGGCTGTAGCTTAACCTGGAATCGGGGAGGCTGGTGAACCTCTAAAGTGGCTGCTGCCAGTTCTCCGTGGCCTAGTTCATTGGTGGCTTGGCAATGGTAGACTCCTTCGCTCCCAAGATGAACACTCGGTATGGTGAACGTATTGCCTGTTGCAAGAGCCTGTGCAGGCTTTGTGTCTGAATTTTCAATGTCCCGGTACCATCTGTACTGTGGAATTGGCCAGCCTGGCGGCTTAGCACTGCACGTTAAGGTGACACTAGTGCCTTCCTGTGCCACTGGCCGATCAGGGCTGATTCTGGCTCTACCGGGCTTATGCCGTACTAGTACAACTACGGAAGCATTATTCGATCTTTCAACTTTCTTTACTTCTCCATTTTCAGAAATAGGAATAACGTTGACTGCTTTACAGTTGTACGTTCCTGCCATTTCAGCGTTGACTCTAGCAAGTAAAAGGGTGTTTCCTTTTTGATGAAATTCTGGTCTCCCTTCCATTGTCCATTCGATAGTAGTCGGTTCGGGGTTTGCAGTTACTTCACATCTTATTTCAACTCTTCCACCCTCTTCTGCTTCGTATGTTTTCGATTCAACTGTTACAGTTGGAGGGAATAATACATCTAAATACATGTCTTTTTCACCGGGATGACCGAGTCCGTTGTCAGCAGAGCAAGTGTATGTGCCCGCGTCCTCAACAGTCAACGCGTGAAGACTATGTTGGAATGAGTTAGAGATGTATTTTCCGTTACGAGACCATCGTACTGAATTAACTTTGGGTTTGGCGTCTACTATGCACTCCATAGTTGCGCTGCCGTCAATTTCAACCCGCATCGGATTTTCTGGTCCGATAGACACTCGTGGAAAATCTAGAACAAAAATATTATAGTTATAATTTTTATTATTTTTAAGCATGTAACTGCTTGATGTTTAAATCTAAAGAAAATATAACTAGAAAAAAATCCACGCGGACCAGGCAGCAGACGGGACTCGAACCCGCACCCTTCGCAATCCGGGCGAATGCACTGACCAATTATGCTACCGCGGCCCTGACGGACCGCGTCGAAATTCTTCTAGCCATTCTTAAGCTGCAAGGCAGCGCCATTTCTTCGCATTATAGGTAACCCACAATGTCAAATGAATACTTTTACAAGTATTAAACATTTGAAAGAAGAAATAGCAATCATAGTTATAATTTTTATTATTTTTTAAGCATGTAACTGCTTGATGTTTAAATCTAAAGAAAATATAACTAGAAAAAATTTCACGCCGACCAGGCAGCAGACGGGACTCGAACCCGCACCCTTCGCAATCCGGGCGAATGCACTGACCAATTATGCTACCGCGGCCCTGACGGACCGCGTAGAAATTCTTCTAGCCATTCTTAAGCTGCAAGTCAGCGCCATTTCTTCGCATTATAGGTAACCCAAAATGTCAAATGAATACTTTTACAAGTATTAAACATTTGAAAGAAGAAATAGCAATTATAGTTAAAAAATTTATTATTTTTAAGCATGTAACTGCTTGATGTTTATATCTAAAGAAAATATAACTAGAAAAAATTCCACGCGGACCAGGCAGCAGACGGGACTCGAACCCGCACCCTTCGCAATCCGGGCGAATGCACTGACCAATTATGCTACCGCGGCCCTGACGGACCGCGTTGAAATTCTTCTAGCCATTCTTAAGCTGCAAGGCCGCGCCATTTCTTCGCATTATAGGTAACCCACAATGTCAAATGAATACTTTTACAAGTAGTAAACATTTGAAAGAAGAAATAGCAATTATAGTTATAATTTTTATTATTTTTAATAGACCAGGGCCGATAATTTTAAAAATGGTGAAAAGTGAAAAAAAAATTATAGTAGGATGAAACCCATTAGAAAAGGTAGAGAATATAACAAAAATTAAAGGAAAAATAAATTACGGGCGATCTGAGGTCGGGAAGGGGGAGGGGGTGAGTTTTTAAAGGTAAAAAATGGTTAATCTCGATTTCCGGTAAAACTGCAAGTCCTATGAAAAAAAGTTAAATGGCAAAGTTGTAGGTAATAAAAAGATCTACAACTTTTGTATCGACACTTTTTTCACATAACCTCAAAATTTATGTGAAAAATGCGAATAACCGAGTTTTTGGTTTTTGATTTTTATTTTTTGCAAAAAAAAAATATTTTTTCACGAAATTTGGTGAAAACTTACCTTTGTATGTCCCAAACATACAGTATTTTTTTTGATTTAAAATATTCATTTTTTCACCTTATTTTGACTGAATATCGAAAAAGCACCCTTATTTTCAATCGAAAATTCTCACGTCAAAATATCTGCTTTTTTAAAAAAGTTGGGGTGTTTTTTGTTTGTTGAAATCTCTACTTTCTGATGGTATAAAAAAAATATACACTACTATGATAAATGTTCTCAGAAAATGCAAATTAATAATGAAAAAAACTCGAATCCGAAAATCCTATTTTTAATACCTACTTACAACAACTATTTTTGCATGTTTTATGGATTTGTAATTTTTCTGTTTATCAATATAACATGAAATCTTACGTTTTTCGAGTAATTAAAGTGTAAATTTTAATAAATAGTTCAAAATTATACATAATGATTCAAATCAATTTTTCGGATTGGAGTTTTTTTCATTATTAATTTGCAGTTTCTGAGAACATTTACCATAGTAGTGTATATTTTTTTTTATACCATCAGAAAGTAGAGATTTTAACAAACAAAAAACACTTTTTTAAAAAAGCAGATATTTTGACGTGAGAATTTTCGATTGAAAAGAAGAAATAGCAATTATAGAATTTGACATTGTGGGTTACCTATAATGCGAAGAAATGGCGCTGCCTTGCAGCTTAAGAATGGCTAGAAGAATTTCAACGCGGTCCGTCAGGGCCGCGGTAGCATAATTGGTCAGTGCATTAGCCCGGATTGCGAAGGGTGCGGGTTCGAGTCCCGTCTGCTGCCTGGTCCGCGTGGAATTTTTTCTAGTTATATTTTCTTTAGATTTAAACATCAAGCAGTTACATGCTTAAAAATAATAAAAATTATAACTATAATTGCTATTTCTTCTTTCAAATGTTTATAATACTTGTAAAAGTATTAATGTGACATTGTGGGTTACCTATAATGCGAAGAAATGGCGCTGCCTTGCAGCTTAAGAATGGCTAAAAATATTATAATTAGAATAATGGAAATGTTTTCAAAATTTTAAGTTAAGTGCCTTTTTTAGTTAGCAGAAATAAAATTAGTTTTAAACATAGGTTTGAAACGAAATTTATTTATTTCTTTTTACTTTGGTACTAGTGTACGTGTTCAGTCTGGTGGTAATATGCGATCTACTAATGGAAATGTCTTACAGCAGAGCAAACGAAGGGAGCTACCGATTACTTATACGACTGTCAAAAAAGAAGTGTAATGTTTTCTTTTATGTACTTAAGACAGGTATATAGTTTATTTAGTTGATTAACATCAGCCTATTAATAATCCACTGCTGAGCACAGGCCTTCTTATTTAAAGAGTGAACGGAATACTACAGGAAACGCTAATGATGTAAGAAAAAAATACGAATAAGTAAACAAGGAAATACCGTTTTACGTAAAATAACAAAGAACACGTGGCGGTGTTACGGTGAAATTTTATTGATAGTTAATTACACGTTGTACGTATTATATCTATCTGCTGGTGTATAAATGTTTATTTAACCTAATATCTGTTTGAAAGCATGGAAATGTGAGGTAAAGTTTTAACCGACCGTACCGAAAGTACCGACTTACAGAGATATTATATTGATTTGAAATGCCGCATGACGTCACGACTTACTACAATTTTTACTTAGAAGTGCCGTCACGATCTCCACTCCCAAACTTTGACGTGCGTTATATATAATGTATGTAATTTTTTGCTCGTGAGACAAAAGAAAAATGAATACGATTTAATAAAAGCAATCACATATTATAATAATACTATACGTGGAAATGATAAATAAATTTCTGACTACCTCACAAAGACATAAAGACTTAACACTGTAGATATCTAAGCCTGTCCAAGGTATAATTATTAACGTCAAATTTTGTGTTTAACTCTCGATGCTCGAATACGAGTGCCAATGAAATTCGGTTCGACAACTACTTGTAAATAAACGAAGTCGAGTACGCCTGTATTCGGGTAGATTTCCTTTTGTTTTTTTTTTGTTTAAACGACACAAGTCTTCCAGCCCGTATTCCAGTGTAAATATTTTTCGGGTGTCCGAATTCAAGTAATGTCTTTCGTGCACCCGAATTCGGGCTAACGACGAAATGTTATTGCAGCATAAGAAAGGGAAGTAAACATACGAAAATCTATAATTAATCCTCGTGTGTAGTCATAGTCAGTTTATTTAATCTACGTACGCGGACGTGCAATGCGCTCATGGTTCATGTCTAAAATCCAGGTCAATTCATTAGATATAAAATTTGTTACGGAAGTATTTTTTTGGATAAACATTTCTTTAGGCACGTTGGGCAATTTTGGGATGACGATAAAGCACTGAATTCACATGACCGCTTTGCTCAGATATAGATGTTAGTGTGTGGTTGGCTCATATGTTTTGAAATTTGTTAGACAAAAAGTATTAAAAACTATAAATGAATATATAGACTGAGATAAAGATTACACATGACTTACTGAAGCATTTAATTGTTTTATCTTTCCCGAGTACGCTATTGAAACCTCAAATTATTAATTTATTGAATTGAAACTCAACTGCGGTTTTCACGTGATTATCGTTTCTCATGAATATGGTACTCGACCGATCCGAATAGGTAGATTTTAAATTTACATGAGTTACCTACCTAAATTGTTGGGCAGGGATTTCCTGTACAGCTTTTATGTCTATGAATAGCACAAAATAAGTAAAGTATGTTTCCGAAACAGGGATGTTTATTGTGCCTGCTGCTAATATTTTCGTGTAAGTAAAATCCTATTAACGAAGAGTCTTTAACAAGCTTTTAAAAAAAGCATCCTTTCCTTTTATCTTTCTTTTCTCGGAACGTCGAAAATCCAACTCATTCCTAATTATTAATTCTTGGAAGAATAAATGCCTGCCTTAGGTATATACCTAACGTATCAATTAACTTGAGAGGTTCGTTAAAGTGGATGCTGTCACATCAGTCTATGCGATAACAACAGAAGAAAAAAAAGCGTGACATAATCAACGATATTAAATACCCTGGATACAACAACACGAACAAAATCTTTGCTGGCGCTCGTGATGTATATTAGATGTTTATTAGATGTCTCTAGTGCTGGCTCCAGTTTTCATAAGCCTTACGGGCGGTTATGGTACCGCAGTACCTATACTCTATTCAACTTCCTCTGAGACAAAAGGTAAACAAACCATAGTAAGGTTATTCTATTGGCCGAATTCTATACGCAATATAAAATCACAATTAAAAAAACAGACATTAAAAAGACCTAAAACTAAGTATTCAAACTGACTATTACAATATTTCATACTTTCTTTTAAAATTGACTCGGCACAATGGGGACAAGCATAAAGGTTTGGTAGTTAAAACTGAAATGTCAGTAAAAATTAAATCAAATTCAGTGGCAAACTCAATATCTGAAGTACGTTACTTTTTTATTTCTAATGTATGGATTATAATCTGTATTACTATTTTTGAGCTCAGATATTTAGACTTAGTTATTCAACAAACTTTTTTAAATAATTTTAAGTAACTCTGTACTGTTTGAAATCTGCACTAGTGTTATTTTCGTTCTGCGTAAAGTTAGTCTGCGTAAGTAGCCAACTCACTAAAAAGTACATCATTACTAAAGTAGCGGTACGCTATGATGGCCGTTTTCAAGTTGTGCGTTCATAAAGTTTCATATTCTAAATTCGAAATTAGTTCTACATTTGAAAGTTTATTAATACAACCTATTGTAAGGTTTGTTATTATACTTTAGACAAAAATGATTGGTTTTAAAAAACGTTCAAACGTTCCAGCAGGCTTTTTCTATAATTATCATGAAGATGATTTGATTATGTAGTGACACCGTAACAATATATAATATTTTGTAAATATTGTTACATGATTATTTAACGCTGTGAAGTTCTTTTCACCAGTTTTACTCCACAGCTAAAAAAATGTTTTTAAATGAAATCCACGCGGACGAAGTCGCAGTTCGGTACTTGTTCACTTTAATGACTTATTATTATGTCGATTGGCACGACTATTATAATGCTAATATAAAGATAGAATTGAGAACAAAAAGTTTTTATTATATACGATACTGGGCCAATTGCTTCTTCTGAAGATTAATAATAAAAAAGTGAAAAGAAAATATTTTAACTGGAACTTTCTATTAAAGAGTGCTATTTTAACTCATTTCAGTGCTACAATTACACTCTCATTGGTAATCGGTCAATCTCTCCTCTCGATATACAAGGTACTGTAGTTGTACTGCTGCAGTGCAGTAGAAATGATTATAAGTACTTACAATTGACGCTGAGATCGACAGTGGCATCCAGCTGGCTGTTTTCAGGCATGGCGCGATTCCACACCACGCAGCGGAAGGTGGCGCCGTCGTCCTCACGAATCGGCATCAGTGTAAGAGTGGCAGTCGATGCTTCCGCACGTGTCTTTCCATGCACCATTGCCGCCTCCAATGGGTAAGCCTCGTTATTTTTGTACCACCTGCACAAAAATATGATATGCGGTTCAAAACAAGGTTGACAGTTGATCCTACAACTTTTTGAAAAGATTCTTTCGTTGCTTTAATTAAGCTAAATTTAACTTCATTATTTTCTTCGTAGGAAGAGTATTTTAGTTTAGACTGTGATCGGATAGCGCAACAGACTACAATATTGATATTTAAGGGAAAACCAGTGAGGTAGGGCTTAAGGATTTTCTGCGTGAATTACAACATCCGTCTGAAAAAGTGACTTCCGCCTCTACAAAAACTGAAATAACAGCAAGTTTGAAGCACCAATCTTAGATTATAGAACAAAAAAGAAAAGGATCCTTTTTTTCTGTAATCTGCTTGTAATCTGGAGTCCAATCAGTACAAAGCCAAGTAGGTACCTACGCGTGAAGTTGCAAACTCGGTTTTGACTTTGAGTTTGCGATAAGTGAAAGAAAGTCATGTACAAGTAGACACTTGGATATTATATTATATTACGGGACACACGGACACGACGAGACAGTAGATACTTGGATATGGACAGGGATATATTCAGCCTGTACTTTCTTTATTTTAAAAATTTTTGACTGTGAGCATGGTTTCGTCAACATATACAGGCGATGAAAAAAAAGAATTTATATTTGGTTTTGTTAGTGGTTTATATACATTTTTGGTTTCTGAATCGTTGGGACTATTAAGATTAATAAAGAATCCATTCACAATTCCAGCAATATCAGTAAGTTTGTTAATGAAAGCATCATTATTTTTAATGTATTCTATTCTATATAGTGTAAGATCCCAAGACGGCCAGACCTCATTTATTTTCTCATAGACGATTTTTTTTTTTTTATAGATAGATCCGACAAATGACTCCACCCCACCTGATGTTAAGTGAAGGTGAAGTCCAGACGCGAAGATAGCTGATACAGCAGTTCTAACTGCCACACCAGCCATCCTCACCCTGCCGGCCTGCAAGTTGCTTCTTCACGCCTCTTTTAAAGGATCCCAGGTTGTAAGAGGGAGGGAACACGTGAGCGGGCAGAGCATTCCATTTACGGATAGTACGACAAAGAAATGAGTCACCAAATTTCTTTGTACGTGTTGGAATTGTAGCCACAGTTAGACGGTGACAACGTAAGCCAGCGCGCGTGGTCCCCTGAAGGAAAGGGGAAGGTGGAATAAGAGAGAATAACTCCTCAGAACACTCGCCGTGGTACAGGCGATAGAACGCGCTTAGTGACGCCACGTCACGGCGTAATTGAAGAGGCTCGAGGTGTTTAGTCACCTCCTCATCGCCTATGATGCGGATTGCGCGCCGCTGTAACCTATCCAAAGCATCGAGCAAGTACGGATTATCGAGTAGTATTAGTGTGTACAACGAACGTATACAAACTCGCTAACTTGTGCTGTGGGTCAATTTTCTCGAATCAGGTGGCACAGGCACGTAAAAATTTTACTCGCTTTACTTACAGTCTGGGGACTGATTATTACGTATGTTGTAGAGAATTTTGTAAACAATTTGAAATGAATACTGCCTGACACATTTTGTTGGCAGTATTTCTTGCCAGACACTTTAAATGTAAATTTAAATGACAACTAAAACCACAAAACTTACTTACAGTACTGATATTTATCTATGATATTTATGGCTTTTATTATATTTTGTAAGCTGCCGATCAGAACTTCGGGGCCAAAAATTCCCTAAGCTTATTTGAACTACCACTGTCATGACAGACGCGCTCATGCTTATCAAGTGTCTTTTTAATACAGCTTCATTAAAGTTATGTAATAAATAGGGTACAGGAAGCCTTTTACAATAATTAAATAAGTTCTTATTATCTAATTATCAAATTATTTCAGACAATAAGCAACTTTGTGTTTTTTGCTTTCGACATTTAAAGTGTCTGGCAGTATTAATTTCAAATTGTTTACAATATTCTCTACAACATACGTAATAATTAGTCCCCAGACTTTAAGTAAAGTGAGTAAAATTTTTACGTGTCTGTGCCACCTGATTCGTGGAAATTGGCCCACAGCACAAGTTAGCGAGTATGTATTAGTGATGAAACGAATGTTGGATTTTTCACATTCGCCAATGCGAATGCGATTGCGAATATTTATCTTCAACATTCGCGAATGCGAATATTTTAAAATTTCAAAAAAAGCGCGCGTATAATGTTTCACAGATTTGACGTTTCGTGTCGGCCATGTTTAAATTGAACATAGCCGAGCCGATATTGGTTAATTGAATGAATTTAGTCACAGAAAGAAAGTTCATTCTAAAGGTTTTGTTTTGTTTTGAGGTTAGTTTTATGTTATTTATCAAATTGAACTGATTTTTATACATTTAAAGCCAAAGGTTATAAATACTCAATACATTAGATATTTAAAGTTTAATAATTTTGTTTCAAGTAATTGTTTAGTTATTTAGTAAATGGAAACTGTAAACTTTATTTAAAAATGGTAGTAAAGTAATAATATACTACTAAATAAATACAAACCTTACATTGTAACAAGGCTGATTAATGTTAGATTTGATCAGATTATCTGAAGTTCTTTTTTCATAAATGACACTTTAATTTAGAATGTAGAAGTATGATTTAATAAAAATATCTAAGTGTTATCTATTGTATTATTATTTCATATGCATATAATAATTTCCTTTTTGATTATTAAAAACATTCGCTAAATATTAGCATAATTTTAGCGAATGCGAATATTGAAAAATATGCGGATATCCCTTACATCACTAGTATGTATACGTTCGTTGTACACACTAATACTACTCGATAATTTATATTTCGTCCATGAGAAAGTAAGTAAGGTCTGGCAGTCTTGGGATCCTGTACTACTTACCACGAAGCTTTATTTCTGTTAGTGCTTTGGTTTATATATATAGGGTTGTTCAACAAGAACTTTGTTTTTGAATTGTGGCTACACCAACAATATAATAGTTTTCACATTTAGTTTTTTGACGAATTCGTAGAAGATGCATTGGCAATTGTTACAATGAATTCAATTTCGCTTAAAAATCGAATTAAAATAATTAAAATCCACTATGAAAATAGTGGTTCTGCTACAGTTACATTTTGTCAAATTCGTGATATTTTCGGACAACAGGATCGTCTTTCTGAGACCGCTATTAAGAATTTGGTCTTTATATTTGAGTCGACAGGCACGATACAAAATGTGCCAACACCATCGCGTGTTCGACCGGGTCGTTCAACTGAAAGCATCGCAGCCGTGAGCCACAGTGTTGAGGTAGATCCAAATTTGTTAATTCTGCGACGTTCTCAACAATTGGGGTTATCCAGAACCACCAAATGGCGAATTTTGGCCTATTATTGATGACGTGGACTGATATGTGGTTTCAACAGGACGGTGCCACATGTCACACAGCCAATGAAACGATCAATTTATTGCAAACCAAATTTCTCGATCGCATAATTTCACTAAACTCGGCTGTTAAGTGGCCAGCCAGATCATGTGATTTAACACCACTAGATTATTTTTTGTGGAGTTATGTTAAGGACAGAGTGTATACAGGGACAATCGTATCGATTGCAGCCTTAAAACTCAAAATCCGTGATGTGATTAACGAAATAGTCCCGCCATTTTGCCAAACAGTGATTAAAAACTTTGATGAAAGAATCGACATCTGTCAGCGTGCTCGTGGTGGACATTTGCAAGATATCATTTTTGATTCATAATTGCCGAACTTTTCTCTTTGTAATTCAATAAAAAATTTAATCATCTTCATCTAATTTTTTTGTTTTATATTGTTTTAGAAAACAAAGTTCTTGTTGAAAAACCCTATATTAACAACACTAATTTAAATTGAAAATCTAGCTAGTAGTTTTTGGTGGGTTTGTTAGTTAATCTGCGAGGTTTTGTTGATTAAAATATACCCTCTGGCCATTTTCCAGACGACCCGCAAGATGAAACACGGTGTGGAAGCGTCATACCGCCTCTGAACTACTTATGTACCTCCCACTTTCGTAAATCTTGACTTCGCTTTTTTTATTTTCTATAGCAGAAGAGGCCAGGGGGCCAATCGCCTAACGGAAATGCTTTGGAAAACGCTAACGCTTACGAATTTATTTTGTTATTTCTAGCCGCTTGAGGTATTCAAATGCCTCGCGCTCTTTCTTTTTCTTTTGCATTGGTAATAACAATATTAAAAAAAATGAGCGTGAGGTATTCGAAAACCTCAGGCGGCTAGAAATAACAATATAAAATCGTAAGCGTTAGCGTTTCCCAAAGCATTTCCGTTAGGCGATTGGCCCCCTGGTCGGATCCTATATTTATGTATTTGCTGGCGTATTCTATTGATTTAACAGTGACAGAAAACGATCGCGATGTTTACATGCGCGTTAAGAGTGGAGGAGCAATTTAGAGCAATTTTAGGTTTTTAGAGCAATTTTAGGAGAATTATAATTAAAACATCCGCATTGCCCATGTATCATATTAAACTTTACTATTTCAAACCGCGCGTTAAAATTCATCCATATAAAACTTCGACACGTTTAGGAAAACTTAAATATATAAACTTTATAATTTATTAAGATAAGTATTTGTGCCAAGTTTTAAGTCTATTAACCCAAGGAATACTATTTTTCATACAAACATTCATCCACTTTTTTACCCCTAGGGGTAGAATTTCAAAAAATCTAGATACATGTTATTCTTTATTGCTGTTCTCAATTTCTCAATTATAAATACTAAGTTTCGAGTAAATCAAATGCGCGTTAAAATGAATTTACATAAAAAATTCGACACCCTCCAATCCCCCAATTGCTAAAATTGCTCTTATCGGTCGAAGAAACCTCCCTCACAAACACCGCGGAAGTTGAACTAACTCGTGACAACGATTTTTGTGCGTGCAGCCAGTGTTCATCGATTTAAAAGTCGTTTATTTATTTATTGATTGCATGTCACATTACTATTAAGATGGTACATTAAATATGATGTATGTTTTTAATTGAATATACAACTAAACAGAATATTTAGTAGTATATTCAATTACAAAATAAAACATAATGAAAATAAAATAAACAACAAACGTGCTTTTTGTCGTTTTTTGCTCTATATTAGTAACGGCAACATGTAGACGCTTGAAATATTCACAAAATATTTAGTTGTATATTCAATAAAAATTAAATAAATATTTAAGTTGGGCTCCCGTACAGCAGACGTGATTTTTTTGCCGTTTTTAGCTCGTATACCATATTATAATATAGTGTCTAATGTTGTACAGATAATGGTACAGAATCCATATTGCGTGAGTACGACTTGATATCCCTTGAAGTCCATATTTTACGTGTAATAATGGGAATGTGATTAACGAAACTCTAATAAACCTAGTTCCGTATAATTTAAAATTATTATCGTGGTACTCCTCTAAAGCTATCGTGACTGTTGATTTAGAAAGTGTTATTTTTTTTCTTCTAAATTATGAACTAAGCATAGTTCTTACCCAATACATTATTTCAAGCTTTACCAATCAGTTTCGTAACAGCTGATCAGAATATTTCATAATTTTACTATGTTCATAGTTAATTGATTAGTTTTAGATTAGGCTAGTTTCAGTTTTCTATTACGAAGTTAGGTTTAGATTTGCTTTACATAAAAATAGATTTTAATTATAATAATTTATCTGACAGAAGACAAATAAAAACATTGATTTAACAATTGTTCGGCCAAGCATTAACAATTCTTACCTAGGATCAGCTGTTATCAATTTTTATAAGTAAAAGGTTAAATTTACCAATAATTCAAATTCGTCATAAATAAATTGATCGATTTAACAACCTAGGACGGAATTTTAAAATCTAAACTATTACATTAATTATGTATCGATATTACTTTATTGCTGAAAAAGAGATAAAAAGGGGCCATTTTTTGCAATCCTTTGTAATCACAACTGCTTTGTGTGTCGATAAAACTGGTTTGTGGATATAAAGCTTACGCACTCTCAAAACGCAAGCCTCGGCATAAAACAACTGGTAGATCGTTGGTTTATTTAGCATGAAACGGTGGGTGTAGTATAGCCACAAGCCATGCAGGGTTTCCTTATTTACCCCTATAAATATACTTTTGTAGCTTAGGTAAGCGCTTTGGACTTATTTTGAACCTTAAATATAACGACTAGCTGTCGCAAGCCTCACCTAGCATAGCCTTGATAACAGCTCTCAGCGCTCTCTCAACTCTCAGCACAATGTCTTATTCATCCTTCCCCCAAGCAGATTAATAAGAACTTTTTAAAGACTCACACAGCCCATGCTTTTAACCATCCCAAGCACGGCGTTTCATGTAACCGCAAAATAGACATTACAGAAGGGAATCTACATACAGTGCGCTCGAGCAACGCACACATAGACACCACTCACAGACCCGATATTATGTCGAACTACTTCAGACCACTGCGAGCGCGAGCTTTATCCGCTATTATGTTTTAATTCAAACTTAAACGGTGAAATGTCGTTTTTTTATATTTGCAGTTAACAATAAAATTGAAATATCGTCTCTTTTTAACTCGTTATTATGTAAGGTTTTTAACGAAACCATATTTAGACTTTATGGTAGACTAAAGACACACGTAGTAGCGCGTATGAATACACAAAGCAAACTTACCTGATGGAAGGTTCAGGTGATCCGCCTGAGCTAGAGCAGGAGAGCGTGATTTCTTTTCCTTCTTGGGCTTCAGCCTTCGGCCCTGGCACTAGTAGTGGTGGTCGGGGTAGCGTGAGCACCACAAGGGAGTGTATCTGCGAGTGAAGTGTACGCCCCGAACCTCCTGCTTTTACGCGGCACTCGAAATTCCCGTTGTCGCGCTCGTAGGAAACATTGGACACGATAAGGTCGTAACGACCTTCTTCGGGTGCATATATTATTCTGAAACAAACAATCAGTAGGTATAGTGACATATCAACACGGTTGTGAAGTTAACAATCGCAACTATCCGCAGATGTAAGTTCAGTGACACTACGCGTACGCCTACATCACCCTAAACTTTGTATTACTGCGCCGCCGCGACTTGTGCTAACTTCACAGCCGCCCTTAAGTTTGAATCGCACAACTAGTATTTATATAAGCGCAATGCTTGTCCTATTATATCATGATGACTAACAAATAGAGTCAATGAATTCTAGGTATACTTCCAGACAGGATATGCTGCGGAACTGAGAAACTAAGTTACGGTTAACGGGTAGGAACGGATTAACTACAACTCATTTAATCGATTGCGAACTAGCGAGTGGAGCAGTAAGAATTGCAGAGCGAAAAGCTTGTCCAAAAAGTCAACAAACGATCAATAATATCTAATAAATGACCAACAAAAACCATTCTCATAATTTTCACATGCATTTTATTTACGTGTATTGGAGTTCTAGGTAAACTTACTATATATTTTTTATTTCTTACAAAATAATGTAATTTTTAAAGATGCATATTTATTTTTAACAACCGTTATCTTAATACTGTTGTCTCGTTTATCGTAGAATTATCTTGGAGCTCACAGGAACACACGCAAAATTGCTGACACATAGGTAAAGAAAAACATTCAAAACATTGTAGGTACGCCAAGATGAAATAGCTAGAAAATGAATTTCAATATGCGATAGTGAATTGCTTTTTCATTGTGTTTATTTATAATATAGAAAATAATCTGTTATTACTTTGGTTTTTGTAATACATATGTACCTACATAAAATCTTAGATGAATTATTGGTCTCAGTCGAGCGAAGCGAGACCAATCGTTCATCTATGCATAAAATATTGCACTGCTCATCTTCCAAAAAATGGAGAAAGTGATTGCTGCAGTGATTAAAGGTCCCCCACCGCGCAACTGGGATTTGGCGTTTCAATTCAATTTTGTCAGCAATCACCCGGGTCCTTTTGATTTGTACTGATTAAATAAGCGTGAAAGTAACATTTAATCTTTATTTTATCAAAATTGGTGTACTCTACCAGAAGTTTTTACAATTTAAAGCCACGCAGACGTACGGAATGTGATTTTATACAAAATTTTACTACCTAATATTAGTTATAATTAGACTTGCAACGAATAGTATATTCGGCAGTATACCGAATACCGAATATTCGGCGAGGCCCCTGACCGAATAGCCGAATATTAGGCAAAAGTATTCGGCTGGATTTTAGCGCAAAAAACTTGTACAGACGTGATTGTTTCGCGCTCCTTTGTTTTGTTCTAATCTGCCGTCCTCAAGCTAAAATGCGGCTTAATTACAAAACCAACTTTCGCCAGGCCAGATATGGCCAAAAACGGCGCGTAAACTTTAAATTATTGCTATTCTGTAACCATTCATCACATGACTGAATGAATTAAAAACTGTTAACTTCTTTATTACAGAAAATGATTAAATTATGTACCTGTGTTATGTACCAATGACTACTTAAATCATTATATAACAGAAATGAAAATATGAATATATACGTAATCAATCGATTTTAATTTTTCATTTAACCAATTATTTCTCTATGACAAAATATATTATTTAAGTATTCGGTATTCGGCCGAATAATATGTAGATATTCGGTATTCGGCCGAATATAATAAAAGCAGCCAAATAGGCCGAATACCGAATAGTAACCGACTATTCGTTGCAAGTCTAGTTATAATAGAAGGCGCCGATTTATTGCTACATCGCGACAGGTTTACAATAGGTTTTTGTTTAAGTAGTTTCAAAAACTTGTCGCGAAGTAGAAATAAATCAGTACCATACCATCACTACTGGTAGTTAAATTTTCTATGAAATCACATTTCCGTACCTCGACGTTGCTTTAAATTGTAATAACTTTTCATGGAGTATACCAATTTTAATGTAATGAAGATTAAACGTTACTTGCATGCATATTCAATGAGTACAAAACCAACCGGGTGATTGCTGATGAAACTGAATGAAATTTAATCTATGAATAAAAAACTCCAAATCCAGCTGCACGGCGGGCGACCTTTAATCGCTGCAGCAACCCCTTTCTCCACTGTTTGTAAAATGCAGCAGTAGTTTTCCTTACACAGACATTGATGATCGTTCAGATGAGCATTGGTTTTTTAAGGAGGTCGATCATACTATACGCTTTTCAACTACCTCTGGGGCAAAAAGTATACAAGAAATGAACAAACCATAAAAAGGTTTTTTAATAAATCGAATTTTATACGCATAAAAAATCCTAATTGTATAAAAAATATCGCGAGACTCATTTCATCACATTCAAACTATGGATATGCCAGTGACATTTAATCGCCTTGGTGCACAGGCTTTTAGCCGACCCTGTAAGTTAAATTCTATAATAATATGTATTTTTATGGGCTTGTAATATAATATTTTTTATCTTCAATCTTTTGCCGATAAGGTTTGTTTTTTATAATTTCCGTAGCTTATTTTAATTAATTTAAAAAGCATATATATATTATGATAATATTATCTGTGTTACCATTAATTTAAATGTTTAAACGACATTTTTATGGGGTACAAGTGGATAATAATAACCATTTATATTTTTAATGAATTCGGAGTATTTTTCTACACTTCACTGCATGATTAATACTTGAGGTACAAGATTAGGCACAGTTTTATGGATAGAAGAATGGATTCTTTGTAATCAGTCTGGTTATACCGGCCATCATTACTCTCGATAAAAAACATAAAGAAATATTGGTTTGTGTTTACCTTTTGTTTCAGAGGAAGTTGAATACTGTATAGATACCATACATTTTTGGGAGAAAGGCTCCCAAAAATGGGGTATCTATACTGCTATGCTGCTACCACTGATAAGGTCAGTCATGACCGCTGTTTCAACAACAAACGTAACCTGGAAGTCTTTTCATATTAGAATCCGTATTTTTACTGTTTCCTAAATTTAAAATTTTTAATAGCGCCGCCAGGTTTTTTGCTTTCCAGCATCTTCATTACAGGTCTATAACAAACAGAAGCTGAAGAAAAATAAGCTTACTGGTAATTAATCTCCAATGGTATATTTCCGATTGCGACGTTCTCATGGTCGGTGACAGTGGTTCGCACCCAGTAGTAGGTAACGGCCTCCGCAGCCATCGGGTCAAGCGAGAATCGGCACTGCAGTGTGACATCTTCGCCTTCACGCGCGTCATGCTGTTCGCCCTTATTAGCGGCTCTTGAAATGATCACACCTGAAAAAAAAAATCACAATTAGTATAATAGATTTCGACAACGACGCAGCACCTGTGCTTAGGGTTGCCAACCGTACTATTATTAAGTATTGTACGTTATTTCGGGTTATTGTACTCTATACTTTATGCTAACTAAAATACTTTATTTAATGTGGTTTGATAAGTCGTGGGTTAATTTTGCATAAAATATACAAAAAGAGATTGATATGAAGAATTTTTGCGTAAAACGGACAGACAGTATGTATAAATATGTCGCCCTTAGCTCATTCTTGCAACATTGTCGTGCCTGTATGGTTTTGTACCAGTACCTTTCCCGTTGCGGAACAGAACTACAAAGGACGATGTTAAAATTGGCTTAAGAACCAACACCAATTTGGCATTTATGATAATTCTTAGTATATTTTTTGCGATAATTATCAGTATTTAGATTGTGACGGATACTTCTAGTTAAGTAAGCTATATTAAAAATAAGTTAAAAAAAAATATAGTTAAAAAATAATGTGAGACAATATGTACCATTTTAGTGTTTTATCTATGACAGCGCTGCAAACAAAAAACTCTTGCTTCCTAATGCCGGCACTTCACTTGGCTATTCGTGTTTGCTATTTGAAAACTTGAAATCAGTCTGTTCTTTTCACTCCTTATTAAGCATGACAAGGACAGACTATTGTTGGCAGAAGGGCCGGCATAGAACTCGATACCCTGTGGTTGTGGTGCAGGCAGTTTGCATTCGTAGTAGTTTGTGCGTGCATTCTCATTTCGGATTACCTGTTGTGTGTGTTTATTTGTGATTGTTTTTCTTTTAATTTAACTATTTCGGCTATCTTATATACCATCGATGTTACCAAAGAGCAGAGACCTTATTACCAAGTGCTAGTGAACCTGTGCCACAACATCCTAAGAGGATCATACTGCCAAATTATTCAAGAGCGCCTGATACACATTCACGCTGCATATTTACACAATATATATGTGATATACAAATAAATACAATAAACATTATGATACAATTATGTGAAAATAGTCAATAAATAAGAAGCAAAACTGCAGTTTTTATTTTATTCATGATTCCTGCCCAACCAAGTTTTTCCTAATATGTAGTTAGTCTTAAACAAAATCGCACCGAATAAAAATGAATTAGTTGTAATATTAATTCATTTCATACTGAGTTCATACTAAGTTCATAGGTTGATCTATGTTTCATTTAATATTAAACATCACCTCAAAAAATATTAAGTTTTGCTGATAATTGAAGTTCTCAGAAGTGTCCGTCAGTAATCTTTGTTTTTACAGTCATTTACTTGCAATTTCGAACCTTTTTTTGTGTCTGGAAAATGCCTTACGCATCCTTCAACCATTGGGGGAGCGAGAAGAAGGTATGTTGTACTCCTCCCTGTCCTCTTCAGCCAGCCCTGGAGCTCGCTGATGTGAACAGGGCCACTAAAATCCAGACAATACTCCTGCACCGTCACCCGAGACGCACTATGAGGACCGCGGTCCCCCTAGTGCATGCCGAGAGGGCGGGTGTGGTCGCGGAACCCATCTCCGAATGGCCGCGCACCCGCCCCGATGAAGATGCCCCGGAGCATCAGGGGCATCAGCATCCATAGAGCTTGTGCAATGCGAGCCTATCCCCCCCCAGGACAGACTCGCGGCTCTCGCAGGAGTGAGAGGGAGAGCGTAGTTCTCTCCGTCCCTCTCCTACCCCCCCTAGGCCCTCAGAAGGGCCTTTTGAGCATCTACCTCCAATGGCAGTGATAAAGATCACTGTGGGGTGATGCTCCTAACTCCCCTGGTCCTAGAAAATGGACCGTTTGCAATTTCGAACCTAGAAAATAATATTTCATGATTGTTGGTTCTTAGGCTAACAATGTATGGAGGAAGAACAATGTCCTTTTTAGTAGCTACAAATTATTTATAAAAAGTTACTAGAAGCAACGTAAAATGTATTTTTAAACGGTTTTATTTAGCTCACCCCGTTTGTTTTATTCTTGGGTCAAATTTAGTAATTCAAATTTCACCCTCTTCCTGTCAACCGATTAATCTGAAATTTTGTATACACTTTGGATTTTTAAGCTTACTAATAAAGTGGAATAAAAAGTACTTTATTTTAGACACACTGTACTCTTTTTTTCTACTTTTCATATCCAATGTATTTTATTTGGACATAAAAAAGGTATTTTGCTGCATTTGTATTTGTTTTGTCCTGACAGAACATGACTGGAAAAAAAAATACATATATTCAACAAGATACTTATAGTCGATTACGGGATTGCTACCATGCACCTTGTTTTCATTTAGTCTTAATGCTTATGAAAATTTCAATACTTTATGTATTTTTTTTTCATAATCCTTACTTAGATTACGTGTTAATTACATGTATGATTAACTAAATGAATAAACATTTCAATAATAATGCAGAATTTTAAGCGTCCGCAGAACGGCAGGACATTAAGTGTGTGGTGATCGCGAGAGCACAGGCTCGGACGTCGCGCTAGGATTGTCAAGTTTTGTTTGGCTTGTGCACAAAATGGCACGTAATGGCAATGGCACTAGTGCGTATCTAGTTGTTTAATTCATTGTTGAGAATGAAACAGGAAGAATGGAGATACATATAAACTTTTTATTTTAAATGACCAGATTGCCTAAAACGACAGACAGTAAAATATGAAAGACATGATAGGTAATGATCGGACGTGTGTTGTTTTTATGCGATAAAATACTATTATTTTAAAACCATGATTAAATATTTGTATGCGATAAAATACTAATTTTATTACAATCATGATCAAAAAGGAGCCATGTTGTACCTGACGGTACTTTATAAACGTCTTGAGAGCACTCCATCTGTTAATTGTTTCGGTGTCGTATTAGAGTCACAGCTCATTAGACCCACCCGTAGGGTTGAGGCCGTGAGGGTTGATATTCTTTCTATGAATTTCTATGGGTACCTATACGCTCACTACATCAACTCCGTACCGTCACCGGATCGCCTCGATCGCAAGCTGTCAGCGCGCGGGCGGTGCTTGCACGCTTGTCGTGTGCTGGCCGCTGGTTGTAAACGCGCTGCTCCGGAGTGGACCGCGCGTTGCCGACGCACGAGTTGACAACGCATATCATTTTCTTCTTCATCAAACACTACAGCTATTACATCCAATACACGGTATTGAAATTGAACATTGTGATGACACACGTGTAAACCAACTATCTCTAACACACTACTTAATGTTCGCTGACAAAGCGGAGTCAACTACGCGGCGGCGCGGCGTTCACCTGTCAGCCACCTGACTTTTGATGGTTGACAATGCGGCGTCCACTCGCGGCCCACCCGATGTTAGCTGGTTGACAACGCGGCGTCCACCTGAGTTTGCTCATCGACCACGAGTGGACGTGGACGGCTCGTATGAGCTGTAACCTTTGGTATTATGTGCGAGGCAAACTTCTGACTGTCTGTGCTTGTGATTATTATAGACACCCTTCCCCTGCTGCCGCCCGCACCCGCATGCTCCCACGGTCTCAGTTTACGTTTCCTTCAGTTAAGCACAGATGTGAAGCTAAGTGTTTCCATGTGCTAACACTACTAAATAACTACAAAAATAAGTACCATATCAAGATTTGGAGTAACAACAGCGCGTGTCGATTCTGTAAACATTCTACTTCCGTTTATTCGATACTGTGTCAATAGTCAAATATCTATTTCTGAATAAATAAAGTAAATAAATATTTCCAACACTCACACCAATTAGCCTTGCCCCAAAGTAAGCACTGTAAAGCTTGTGTGATGGGACACTAGGGTAACGTATAGAATACATATACAGTACGTGTAAGTACATTTATATATAAATACATATTAAACATATGGATGTTTATGTTTATAGTCATGGGACTGGAGTACAAATGCTCGTATACATCGCACAAACATCTGCCCCCACCGGGATTCAAACCTGGGACCTCTCGAGTAGACGACACCTTGAAACCCAGCGTACAAACCACTCGGCCACGGAGGTCGTTGATAAACTGGCTCCTTCAACAGTAATTGTGACATTTTTTCGTGTAATGACGTAATCTTAAATATTAACTGATGTCTAAAATTGGAGCTGTAGAACTCTGAAGTGAGATTTTATGAACGCACTTTATAAAGACATCATCAGAAAGAATGTATGACAGAAAGATTAGAATATGGGTTTTAGAGTGATTAACGGGATCGCTACTGTTTCAACGAGTTTCCGACATTTCGGCGTTGTTGCTACTGCTATGATCACGAGAAAATGTCATTGGTAAACATTAATCTGCCTGTAAATCAATGCTATATATGTTACCGGCAATCTGTATAATTCGGCATTATAATTCTATACAATACTTAGGCAATGTATAGAATGTCAAAAACGTCACGGCAATGTATTCAATATTATTAATTTTATACTTTGTCAAGGAATTCTATACAATGCCGAATGCGCAGTCGGCAATGTGTGTAAGAGAAGACAGCGCGTCGACTTTTCCTTGTTTTATTTATCTATTATGTATCATGGCTGGCGTTTCGCCGGCCGTTGACACGGCACGCTCGCTCTGTTCGCTCGGCTCGCGCTAAGTTTAGGTCACAACACTAACTTAACCTAACCCACTGTGAGTTGGTCAAAGGTTCATTGTTCTTTTATTCATTCAGTGAAAATTATAAAATCCGTTCGTCATTTTATATGCAACTGGTAGGCTAGGTAAGGTTTGGTTAGTCAAGTTAAAACCAATATCATAATTGAAATAATGTACAATGAGGATACACATACATTCTTTTACCATTATCCAAAATAACATTAAACAATGGCATGCGATAATATCGAAAACCACTAAGGTTTATACTGCGCTATGTTGCCATTCATTCATTGCGTAAGACTACCCCCCCCCCCCCTCATATTATAAGAAAAAATAAGAATAGGCCGACCCCTTCCCCCCTGCTTATTACTACGAAACATATTACGAAACAATCTAAAGGAAAATATTAAAACGCGTTTG